CAGGGTGACCACAGGCGGGCAGCAGGGCACATGGCAACACCTACGTTTACTTCCCTTACCTGCCCTCCGCGGGCACTGAGGATTGTACAGCGTGACCAATGAATATGGCGGGTGCCCAGTGAATGCCTGACTGCAGATGGAAGTCCGTGTTGGAGTGGCAAAACAAAACAGGAGAAACGGCCACAGAATGATAACATTTGTCATGTTTTCGGCGCACGTCACAATCCCTGTGAGCTTGTGACACGGCGGCTTCCTCTCCCCAGTACTGACCCAGCAAATCCACCACCGTGGAGTTCAGTGAGGAGCACGGAGAGTGAATTTCTGGGCCGGACGGTGAAGCGGGAGACCTGGTGCTCAGGCTTCGACGTTGGGGGGTGTACCATAAGGTAGACCTAGTGAGGGTGACAGCTGCAGCTTGAGCTGTGGGGCGGGGGGTGCCTGGGACCAGTCAGACCAGCACGGTGGTGCATTCTCCCTTCCTGCTCCTGTTTGCGAAATATGGTGCAAACCCTTCCACCCTCACATCCAGCCCACGGATTTCCATGGAGAGACATGGGCAATCCCCCCCCGCACCACCACCTTTCCATCACTCAGACTGGGCCGCATGAAGGCTTTTTCCCTTCCCCTCCCTCATAGGACTGCAGCACCAGTGCATTCCAAATGTTTTCCATCGAGGGGGCGTGACACAAAAACCAGCAGGTGTTTCAACATCTCCCCCCCCCCCCCCAAAATTAAAACACAAATTCAATTAAATATATATATATAACATTTCAGCTATAAACTACCAGCTGGATGTATCACTTCTGCAACGGATACGTTGCTAATAGCCTGTGCGCTTGTAACTATTGATAAACATTAACTGCTGGTTTATAATTAAAGAAAACAGGTGAATCATTAGCTCACGTTGCCGTGACGGAGAGCCGGCCCTGCCGTTCAGTGAATCCCTGTGCCCTTAATCCATTAGACGACATCGCCCGGTGCCAGATTTAGAACCTGAGTAGAGCTACGCCGGCTGCCGGATTTGAATGGGGCTTTTATTTTTCTTGCCCAATAAGAGATGGAGAGATAGCGGAGCGGACAGGTCCATGAGGGTAGCCACAGCAGCCACACACCGCTAATTTGCCTATTCCACTACACCACACGACACGGTAGCTTTCTGGAAGTTTCCCTGCTGGATCATCCTTCGGTCCCCTCCCCATTTTCACATAGCGGCCTCTGTTTCTTGTCGCCGGCGGAAAGAAAGCGTCTCGCCTGAAGGCTGCCATTTTTCAGGTAGGCCGCTGTGCGAGGCAGCCACCCCGACCGCCGCTGTTTACTTTAACCCGCTGGGGCCCATTAGTGAAGTGGTGCGTGACATTTGCAAGAGGCAGCCCGAGAAGTGCTTGATGGTCTGAAGGGGCGGGCGGTGAGGGGCTCGGCCGATGCCAAGGTGCCATAACTGGGGCCTCCTGTGGAATGTAAGGCGAGGAGGAGCCTCATCCGTCACTCCGGAGCGCAAGGGGCCGAGCCAGAACGTAAAACACAGTCATGTGGGTGACAGAATGGGGGGGGGGGGAAGGGGGGGGCACCATCTCCAGAACAGCACGTCATTTGTCCTTCCCCAGGCGAGACAGTGTTTCTTATTTTTTTATATCATTCTTGCTTTTTTCTCGTGACACCTGCCAGAAGCGCAGAATGTGAGCAGGGGATCCTGGGACACGTGTGAGGCCCCCACCAGTCATGGCCCAGACGCCAGGGGCACCCAGAGTCATTTGCTTCGTAGCCTCTGTGGCAGGGGGTGTTGCTATAAATTCTGGGGCCTCTGACAAAATGGCGCCTTGGTCCCCCACCACCTAATAAAAATCATGTCCCTTTCTACTCAAGGGTCCCCGTGCCATGCTGAGGTCCCATGAATCTGCCCAGGTATCCATGGCCCTATTGTGCCCCTGGTCTGTGGGCACGAAATTGGCATCTTTGTCCCTCAGGAAGGAGTTAATTCATGATACAAAGTCACACTTTACACACTTCCCCTAAATGCTTCTAATTAAGGCCCAGTTTCACCTTTGTGATGAGTCACCAATGCAACGCATCACAGGAACACACACAGACTTTTTACAGTACCCACATATCTACGCGCTACAGAGGTTTACTTAAGCACTGCTTTGTCGACCTTAATTCGGCCTGGATTTGGGTTTATTCACACCTCTGCTTAATTATCTCATTAACATATGCGATTTATATCATAGATCTAGACCAACTGGTGAAATGGCTTCAGAATAAGCTCCTCATTAGCCGGGGGAAGAGAACGAACGCAAATTAAATCACCAGCGTGCATATAGAAACACACAAAAGAGCTCTCTGTGAAAGCGAAAAATTAAGTGAAATAGAAGGCGGCTGTGCGATAGCAGTGGATTAGAGACACACACCTTCACCAAAGCAGCCCCATTCCCGGCCCAGTCCACGTCTACGCCAGGGATTTATTCTTGAGTTGGATTTTTTTTAATAGCAGCCTGGACACAATGGGATTAGCCATGACTCGGTCAGCGCTGTCCCGACTCCAGCACTTGAGCCTCATCATCAGCGTCTTGCCGATCGTTATTTTCACACCAGCCCGGCGATCACTCGGCTATTTATGGCTCCCCCTGGCTATCAGTGTAATCAGGAGGTTGCAACTGGAGCTTTTACGAAACACACAGACATCGCAGCTCTCGTTGGCGGCGATGCTTCAGAGACCATGAACTTCACACTGGAGAAGAATATGGTAGCTGCTGGACCAGAATGCTCAGATCTGGGTAGAGGAAGAATATGTTGGAAGCGTGACATCATGGCTGTGACTTACAAACTGTGACATCATGGCTGTGACTTACAAACTGTGACATCATGGATACTGTCAATCTACCAACCCACACAGCCTGGCACAGAGAACCAGCTCTCTGCCTGCAGTTTATGCCTTGCTTTTAGCAAGGATGGCCCATTCTTTCTATATTATATAATGTTAGCTTTCCTGGGGGGGCAGTCAGTTGACCTTGGACCCCCCAGCTTCTTGGGAGTCTTTGGTCCCTCTCCTCTAGGCTCTCATCTTCTGCCTTTATTTCTTTCATATTTTCTTTGTCTTCCATTCTTCCTTGTTTCATCTGCCATTCTGTATAAATGATGCAGTAATGTACTAACACACGCCCATATAAAGCACCTGGGAGTGACACTGCTGTGAACGACGCTATATAAATTGAACTAATCTGAATGTCGGTCTTTGATAAAGGCAATTTGATACGTTTGGCGCATTAGTGCTTGTTCAAACAAAAATGTCACTATCCCTCTACTGCAGGGTCTCCAACTCCTGGAGAGCTGCTGTCCAGCAGGTTCCCTAACCTACCTGGCTTCTGATGAGCCACACCTGTTCCTGGTATTGACCCGAGACCTGGCGCGGCTCATCAGAAGCCGGGTACAATAGAAAACCGACTGGACAGCAGCTCTCCAGGATTGGGTATTGGAGACCCCTGGCCTACGGTGCACCTGTGAGCTTTGGGATAGATTACTACACCATAATAAAAGCATTCATAAACTAGTAGAGAGTAAATAGATTTCCATGTAGCTCACAACTGGTCCCTTGATGAAATGTACTTTGACCTTCCCCATATACTTGACATAGGGCTTAAAAGGATGATCGATGAGAGTATATAACCATATCTTTGACATGGTGTGAATCACAGACCATAGTGGTCTCCTCAGTGAGACATACAGGCCGTTTTCTGGAGCCAACGGGGTGACTGAGGTCAACTTGGTCCAGAGCAGAAAATTCACACCTCTGGACTTGTTCTCATCCACTAGGGTCATTTTCCCAAAATCCCTGTAAATTTTGACCTTTTCACATGCCAAATTACCAGTGGTGTGTCCCAGCCTCCTCAATGGCCTGATGCAGGCAAAAGCTGCAACATCATTGGCTGAAGGTGTGTGTGTATAACTCCAGCATCAGCTATGGACAAGTGTGATGTGATTAAGAACTAGAAAGGATTTTCCCCTCCGCACCCGAAACATCAATGTTTGAGTCAAACCCAAAGATTCACATTCAAAGGAAGGTCCTTCAGAACACGGCCCAGAAGCAAGGAGACATTCCGTGAGGCGTGACGTCCATGCTGGTCACAGCATCTTCCCCGTCAGTTTAATAGATCGCCATGCCACAATCCCACAGGAATGTATGAGTTTGTGAGATCCCCTATCGGCCTGAACCATCTAAATGAGCAGAGACACGCTGTAGCCCGGCAGCAAATGCCAGCAATGACTCCGGCGTCACGCGTGGCTCAAGTCGGCCAGGCCAGGCCCCTTAAATTATTTATTGCACAAAAACATTACTGTCTAAACATTTAGATAAGGCAGCTTTTTTGCTCCAAGTTATTTTCCAAGTTTACATGCAGAAAAAAAGAGAAGTGAATCACATCCTGTGAGTCAGCATATTATTTAACAAAGTGGGCACACGGACTGGAGCGAAGCTGTCCTCTTGCAGCCTGAGGGGCCCTGTTCGCACCCGAGCCACCAGGGAAGCGGAGCCCGGCCCAAACCCCAAGATCCCATACCACTCCAATCTGCGGGGTTCCAGATCTCCTGGGCAACTAGGGTCATGGCTAAACATGGCTCCAAAGGACACACTTTCCCCATCGTCAACAAACTACCTTCGGCTTGTATGATCATACTCCTTTTCCTCAAAGCTAAACAAATATATAACATAAAAGACAGTGACTTCTTTTCTAAAATTAATAGGGATGTCGGGGACCAGAGAATCACAAGACGTATATAAAAGACATTTATAAAGGCATGTCACATGACACAAACTGCTATGTCACATGACACAAATGGCATGTGAAAAATTCAAATCTACGGTATGCATGTGTTTGGTTTATTCAGTCCAGTAACGTAAGCATGACTTCGGAAGGAGACCTCGTGGAACTTCTGGAATTTGCCAACGTCACAGGAGACTCTCAAAGATGGCACTTATAAAGAAAAGACAAAGAGAAAGAGAGAATCATCTGAACACATTTCCCGCACACCGTGAGGCACAACAGAACTGGCAGGCACACCAAGGAACAAGCAGGGACAGACCTCACCATCATGACAGACCTCACCATCATGACAGACCTCACCATCATGACAGACATATACTAGCAGTGACACACTACAGAACTGCAGGGCTACAACATCACAGAGCAAAGGTGTCTAACTAGATGCATGGAGGATCCTTTCTGCAGGTTAATACTTTACTAAATCCTGCAGCTTTAACTGAACCATTTAATTCAAAACTGAGCTGAGCATTCCCTGAAAATCAAGCATAGTAGCAACCCTCAAATACCCTTCATTCACATATATATTCATATATATACACACACACCAGATCATTAAGGAATGAAGGTAGGAGCTCAGAGCTAATACCCACATGGTTTTGCACCACTGGATTCCATGCTTTATTGTTCGCTTCCCAAGTAGCACACATCCCCTGCTCTCTAAGGGCACTAACATTAAGTCATAACCAGATGGTTCTCAGTGATTTCCCAGGAGACAGTTCCTCTGAATCACAGAACTACCTCTGAACGTAAGACGTACAAAAACAAAAGCAAAAAGAACACGGAATAACAAATCAGCTTTTTTTTTTTTTATTCCTCAAACATTTTTTTCCGCCAGCGTTCAGTACATACAGGCTGAGAGTCCGTTCCGATTAATTACATCAACAGATAATTACATAACAGACACAGAAGTGAAGTTGTTATTATGCAACCGGGAAAGACCTGTCACCGCTGAGGTGTGGCTGACCTACTCTACATTTCAGAGGAAATAAAAAGATAAGTCATGAATGAACGAATTGCCACATACCTGTGCCCACTCACACATGAACGGTATGAGGCAATGCTCCTTCTAAGCTCACCTTAGTCATCCTCTTGTTTACTTTTCATCGGGATGCCTGAGCGATGGGAATCACTTAACATTTTGTTATCTTTCACGTTCTGGAGGCGGGGACACCCTGGGCTTTATGGGAAGCCGGCCTGCAGGTGGTGCCCTGGGCTGCCGTTTCCACAGAGGGCCCCGACCCACGCAGCATCACCGCCGTGACGGTGAGGACGACAAAGCCCAGGAGATTCAACAAATACTGAAAGGGCAGCCGGGCGTGCCGACAGAGAGCAGCACAGGGCGAAAATGTCGCCGGACGAACTCCCACGTAAACGTCACGTTAGCAGAACTGCGACCTGCAGAGATACGCAAAAGGTCGGTAACAGCCGGGGCGTATCACGCAAGAGCGCAACTCGCTCACTCCACATGCCGCGTCTTAGGGCCGTATCACGCAAGAGCGCAACTCGCTCACTCTTTTTATTAGCCGATTCTCGTGGGTGAAGCTTATTTTCACATTCGCACGAGGAGTTCCACGGCAGCGCTTCTCACGGGCTCTGAACCTGCAACCTCCTGGTCTCAAATCCACCTTCTTCTTTCACCCAGTGGCATCTTCATCAAGACCCAGCACTCATGACATCTGGAGAAAGGTATGCAAGAAAGCGGCCATTAAACCAGCCACCCCCCCCCCCAAATAAAAAGCAAATTCAATATAAAAAAAAGCAAATAAAAAGCATCAAATACAATAAAGGACCTTCTTGCTCACAGAAACTTCTCTCATGACCATATTGAGATTTTATGAAGTAACAAACAGGCTGTGTCTCTAGCCCAGTGGTCCATGACAGCCTGACAGTAGGATGCACCACTTGATAATTTAGCCCACACTGCTAACAGCAATCTGCACCAAGTCAGCAGCACAGTCAAAATTCTCAGCTGGGGGAAAAGCCAACTGCTTGGTCTCTGCCGCACGTGCTCTTTCACACAAACCCATCCCCATCAGTCAGATTGTCTCACCAGAAAACACAGCTAAGCAGAGCAGTACCCAAACGTACAGCTTGTCAAATCCTGGTGTTGAGCTCACCTTCATGGTCCAACAGCAATACTCCATCCGAGACTGAAGCCTATTTAAATTCTGTGAGCATCACCGCTAATATTATAGGACTCCTCTGCTGAATTTCCGATTGGTTTTCCCAGTTGCAAATCACTCACAAAACATACACCTTAATAAACAAAAGGAAAGCAGGTCTTGGTAACTTCTTGGGCTTCTGGCTTTTATAGTGAAGGACTGTCGAGGCAACCTGCGCATTAAGGCGTCTGACACAGGCTAATGGGGCAATCAGACCGTTACTAAACCCTGTACACTCAGGTGACCAGGATGTCTGAATAGGACCTGCCAGCCAAACTACTGACTTAGTGCTTCCCTGTAGACCCAGGGCCCCCTTCCAGGGGCCACAGTCTCTGGACTCCTGCTCCCCACATTCCCCCAGCGAGACCCACGTTTGTTCGTCGCCAGAGATTCCGATACACGACAAGCAAGAGCGAGTTCATAACTGATGCAGCTGCACGGTGAGGATTAAACACACATACCGGGACATTTCTCACCTGCTGCTGTCCCAGCGGAGCCATTTTTTTTTTATTTTTGCCTGGGTGACGCGATCTCCTGGAATCCCCGACACGTGCTCACGCTCTCCCTGGTCCTGGTCACATGACTGGTCCTCAGCCTCCGCTTCAAGCTGCAGTCTGATGAGCGTCACGAGGAAAAAAAAGCAAACGAGATGCTGAGTTTCAGGTTTGTCAAGCGACCTCGTCCAGTGCCAACCATCGGCAAGAGGAAGAACCTTTTGAGTATTAACAGCCGGTTAGTTCTGGTAGAACCCCCCCCCACCCCCGCCTACATCTCTCAGTTCATTAAAAAATGTGGGATAAAAGAAACCAAAGAAGCCCTGTATCCAGAACTCCACCTAACCTGCATGTTCAGCATGTCCCACAGAGACCCACCTCCATCCCAGGGGTCCACATCCTCACGCTCGCATCCCCGCACCACGTCGATAGCAAGCTTCGCGGGACTTTCTGGCCAGTCAACCGATGCCAGCTGTCCTCATGAAGCTGCAGCACTGTGTCCAGGCCTCGGCACCTCAAACAGGAGTCGGAGGTCGTCGGCATCATGGTGACAAACAGCAACATGGTTTGGAGCAAGCTTGTCAAAAATCACGACAGAGTAATGTCTGGTGAGACACGTAAATACTGGAACACAGAATTTCTTCCCAACTTCAGAAGTGAAATTAGAATCACAGGTAACACTTTACTTGAGGCGGCACAAATAATGTAGTAGTACACGCTTAATTAATGTATTAATTAACCAGAAACTAAGTGTTAGTTACGTACTGATCCCATGTTCATTCATCATAAATCAATCATAACGGTTCATATATTTCACGCTCTTAATATGTTTGTTCAGGATTTGCACCTGAGTAGTAACTGTATTACTGAGTAACTTGCGGCCGCAGAAGTAAAATGTTACCAAATCACAGTGATCATCACAACTTTCATTCTGGAAAAAAAGAGGATTCCACGACTGAAATGGCCCCCCGCTGGCTCTTGTTGAAAGGCGACCCAGCTCAGCAAGGCACCAAGCAGAACATTAAACAGCAACGTCTAAATATAAATCCTGCTCAGCAATGAAACCAGATCACATTTCAAGAAGAGCACAGGAAAAATATTTTAATTTCAGCCAGTCCCAATAAAAAATAAATAAATAAATACTAATCTGCAGCACTGCTGCTGATAAGCGACCAGCTCAGGGCTTTGTGTCTGGCAGCCGTCTGCTCGCGTGGCTGTGTGCATGAAACCCAAGTCTAACACCCCCCACCCCCGTGCTAACAGGCGGCTGGCCACGGGGCAGGGGTCCCGAGCCCTAACACCTGTCCTCAGTGGGAACAGGCAGTCCCGGGCCCAAAGACAACACCCCAGAACCCCAGGGGTAACCACTCTCTCACATGACTCATCACAAGACCTGACTTTAAATGCCCCTCCCACAACCGATCATGGGACACGGGAGCAGCAGCACGCACACTCGATGGGCAGAGCGGGGACTGCCACACTGCCTCAGGTCACATGACCAAGCGGGCTGAGCGGCACCTGCTTCCCAGAAGCCCTTACATCTCCAGGCTGCGGACACAGGACACAACAAGTATAATATTACACATACAATCACCCTAATTCAGCTACTCGAAAAAACAAACAAACAAGGAAGCCTCTCTGAGTCCCCAACAAAAGAAACTAGAGTTTTTTTTTTTTTATCTGGGTGGTGAATAAGACTCGGTAATCACCACCAACTCTCATAAACAACGTGCCAAAAAAAAAATAATGTATGGCTGTCATGGCATAACATTATTATATAAAAAAAAAAAAAAAACAGATTCACACGGACGAAACTACGCAGCAAAACTGCAGAGTGAAAAGTCCAGAGGTGCGAAAACGAGCAACTTGCTAGAAGCATGACGACCGGCTGATTCACATGGTGAAATGTCAGGCTGAATGTCAGGGTTCTGGTCGGCATGTGCAGAGATTAACGCAGAACCATGAGCCCGAGACGGAACCGCGGCAGGGCTACCTCTACGTGGCAAGGATCGACGGGTGTGGGATTCCGGAAGACGGACCGGGAACCGATTGCGAAATCGTTATATCTGATCACGTTTCAGGCAAATTGCTGTTACATCATGAGAATGACTGTGAATGCACATAGAGGTCATCTCTCAACCTATAATTAAAGTTTCTTAGATGTCTACACACCCTCATACTTCGCCTTCGGTAAGAATCATTTAGCTCAGGACTTGTAAGACTCACTTCAGTTATTTGGGTAATGCAACATGGAGGGTCAGAACCCAAACGAAATGTAAGAACGGGAAGGAAGCACAAGACCAGATGTCAGGTTCAAGGACCAGCAAGAACATCTGGCCAGAATGTGTGTTTGGGCGCTTGGTGACAGGTTTACACCGAGGAAACCCATTTTAGGTAAAAGCGGCTTGTCACTTGACATCACTTCACCCTGTCCCATGAGATCTGTGCCCTCTTCCTGTTTTAAAGGGTGCTATCCAAGTATTCAAATAAATTCAAAATGTACTGTATATTCATATTACTGAATAAGTAATGTTCTCCAGTGAATTATTGATTAAAATGACCACAGAATGCATACATGCATTCTGTCCTGTCCTAGGTGCCCGGAACTGCCTCCTTCCCACAGACCACAGGATGCGACTTCCTGTCACTGACAAACGCAGAGGCTCACAGGTTTTCAATACAACAGCGAAAAGGAGCAGGACATTAAGCAAAGATAAATCTCAGCTCCTGGAATGTCGCTCCGAGGGACAGCAGTGAGTTTTGTTTGTTAGTTACCGCCCACGGCGTGTAGTAAACAACTTCAGTGCCTTTAAAGCGGGGACCATGGGCTCGGGGATTTGGAGGTAAACCTACTAGCCGGAACACTTAGCACTGTGCTAACAGCACAGTTAGCCACGTGAGACCTTCGACCCAGCAGAAGGAGCAAGCCAGTGCAGGCAAGAGCAAAGGTCTCAGTGCGACACACAGCTCTGCGTGGGTTACAGCGCTCTCGTGCTCTCCGCTCTCTTGGCCCCCATCTCCTTCAGAAGAAGCTCCCCATGGACCCAAACAGCCCCCTCTCAGAGCCGGATGCCACTCGCTCACCCAACCCCACCCAGCGCCCACAGAAACTGGCCTTTCTGAGAGATACCATTCAGGTAGACCGTGTGACTCATACCCAGCGTGGGCTGAATGGGGCAGGGCAGGGGATTCCCCCCCACGCTATCAAAAGGTTAGAGTGTAGCAACCTTATAAAACATCACAGATCGAGCAGCATTATACACTCCAGTTAAACCTCACAGCAGCAGAACAGAACCTTTTTCCACATTCATGGAACAGATATTCGAGTTCCAAGCAAAGGCTGGTATCCACGCCCTGAGCCCTGACCTGTATTTTTTGCTCGTATCACTTCTTGCTCTGCCATTCTCTGGTGTGAAACACTGCAAGATGTCACCTCATATATGGCATTTGGCACAAACATCGTGACAATATAAAATGTTTAAAAACTGGTCTGACGCTGACAGAAGCCCGCAAGGGAAGCGATAGTCATCTCAGCCTACAGAAAGATCCACGCAGACTCGCTCCAACCTGTAATTTGCCATTCAATGGCCAATCTAAACAATGGCAAAAAATGCAAAGCTATGGTTAACATACAGTTAAACACACGGTCATGATGGGAAAGCGCTTAAGTTCTGGGAAAGTGTTTCATTCACCTTATATCATTCAGTTAATCAGATGATGTGGGGGTCTAGTTATATGCAACGGCCTGTATGACAGGTCGAGGGCCAAAGACAAAAGGCAGAGATTGACTGAGGTTTATCGTTTAAACGCAGGTGTCTGTCTGTAAGCAAGTAATCGCAGGACAATCACCATAGATGCATGGTGAGCATGCAACATGTGACTGTTACTAACCACAAAGACCAGCCACTGAGTAAGAACGCTAATGCTAACACCAGGCCACAAGAGTTGCTGGGAAGAATAAGAACGCTAATGCTAACACCAGGCCACAAGAGTTGCTGGGAAGAATGCTAAAGCTAATGCGAACACCAGGCCACAAGAGTTGCTGGGAAGAATGCTAAAGCTAATGCTAACACCAGGCCACAAGAGGTACTGAGACGAATGCTAAAGCTAATACCAGCTCACAGCAGTTACAGTGCAGGCATGCTAATGCTAAAGCTAGGCCACAGTATCACCCAGTTAGTCGAATGGTAGGTTGAACTCTCAAAGGTGTGTCCCATTGGAGGGGAGAAGCAACACGTGACCATTTGTCGAGAAGGAGAACCAGCAAATACCTGACAGGGACAAGGTAGTCGCCGGTGGTTCAGGAACTAGACTTGTGAGAAAAAAAGGTTTGCAAGTTCAAAGGCTGAACTGCAGAACATAAGGCTTAACTTTATTTATTTAAAAAATAGCTGGAGGACAAATATGTGTATTTTAAATACTGTCACATCCAAAGAATAAATGAATGTAGTGATCTAGGACACATGCGGCTGTCTTTTAATCATGTGTTCAGCTGCACCGGAGACGGTTAACTCTTACAGCATAGAGGTCCATAACCCAAGGGAAGGCGTCAGCAGCCGTGGCACAGCACCAGACACCAACATCAACAGAATTTACAAGGTATATGAATTATAGCTCAGATATTATTGGGCGGCTTTTGAAAGAAGAAACACCCCTTAAATATCTTAGCCAGTCTGCATCCAGGCTTCTCCGTCTATCCAGGACTCGAACCCCCAGAAAAGTGTGATTGGATTCCTTCTGTCCTCCAGGGCCAACAGCCTGGCCCCCCTCGTACAGAGCGCTAAGTGAGAGCCGGTGTGTGTGTGTGTGTGTGCCGCGATGATGAGATAAGATTCAGATGGTTCCATTACAGCTAGGGAAATCCCGTGAGCTTTCCTGGACAATCGACGTCTGGGCCATCCCCAGAATTAGGCTGCCTTTCAGCGGCTCCAAGCTTTGCCAGCAGCACAATTACCCCTCTGACAAAGCACAGAAAATTTCACAAGTCGAATCAAGGCCACTCTTTGTAAGTACAGCACTCTATTCAACAGGGCAGTTTTAAGGAAACACAGGGGACTTACATGTTATACATAAATTCTAAAACCATCCAAATACAATTTTTGTTATATTTTTAACAAAAATGTTTACTTTTCATTTACAGAAAACAGAATGTCTAGTGCGGACCAAAGGGAAGATCATCTTCTACGTCTTTACGTCACTACAGCCCCTGTCCTTTAAAGATAAAATAAAATAAAAAAAAGAGTTCATTATGGCTATTACCGGTTGGTTACGTTAACACTCATTTTATCCTAACAAGAAGCGGATGACAGCAGTCGGACAGCAGCTTTCAGATTTCAATCTGCCTCATTTTGGTGGCGTAATTTCTGAATGCGAAGCCGCTCGTCATCGCGAAGAGCTTCCAGCGGACCAAGTGACCCCCGGGTCCCCGCTTACGGAAGGCTTTGTGTCGGCCAGCCTTCAGGCTGCAAAACCACAGACGCTTACGAATTATGTAAGACCCGCTGGACGTCTAAAAACGTCAAATAAGCGCCAGTCTCCTAATTACGAAAGCGCATAATGATTATGTGAAATTCATACTGTAAGAAAGAAGAATGCTCATTTTATAATATGCAAGTAATGTAAACTCCCCACTCTGATGTAAAAAAATCGGGAGTTTTATATACATGCATTATTTACATTTTCTAGAGAGAGAGAGTGTGTGTGTGTGTGGGGGGGGTAATATTACAACCCAGGATCGACGATCCTGCCGTAAATGCACTTTTTAACCATAAGCGGACAATCAGGCCAAAACTCCTCAATGGATCAAAGCTGTAGTACTAAGGGATTCCCCCCTACCCATGTTGCCTCGTTGTAATTCCCTTTCGTAAACAAACATGGATCATTAGGGCGTGTTAACTAAAGTTGTGCAAATGCATTATATAGTATATTATAGTATGTCTGATAGTACACAACGGACCAGCAGTGACCATGCAGTGTCTACTATAAAGGAGGACCAACACATACGCCAGCTACCCGCCCGAATGCTTGTGATGCACCGGATTCAGCGACACAACCGGCTGCCAAAAAGTCCGGGGAAAGAATCTATAAGATACACAACTCGGGTTAATGACAACACGGTCGGTTCGTCACGTTAACCGGGTGCTCAAGCAAAGCCGAGACAACCACACGTAAGTTACAGGCGTGCAAGAAACAAGGTATTATTTGGAAAAATAAAAAGATTTTCGCCATTATGTCCTGTCACTTAGTAGTTACCGGAGTAAAACTTAAGGAGCGGGTGACTGTTACTATAAAAAGACAAAGTTAGTCTGTGTGAACGGTGTAAGCGCACATGCTGCTACCTCTACAAACCTGCAGCGTTAACAGTATCCGCGATCTACCCAAGGAGTTCCCAGTTTCCGATCCGTGACCCCAGCTCACCCACACGTCAGTTTCCAACAAACGACTAAACCACCCCACCTCCCCTCCCCCTAAATCCCTCCGTTTGCTGGAAGTTTTTTAAAAAAAAGTTCCGAAGGACGCAGCTGGTACGACTGCAGGTTCAGCGCCTTTTCCACAAACACAGGGGTCGGAGTGGTGGGTGTCTAACACGTTTAACTCTTTTAATCGGGTCCATATAACATGCACCGACACAACTAGCTGCCCAGCGCGTTAGTTAACTACACATCGTCGCAACGCAGGGGTATCGGTGAACGACCCATTACCAAGCAGAAAAACGGGGACGCGCTTCCGCTAAAAATACCTGTCTACGACTATATTTGGCTTGGCTGGAGCACAATCAAATTTCTAAAATAAACGGACCCGCCCCGAACGAATGAATGGGACCTCGGCTATCTTTCGCCGTTGAGTCGCCCGCTGCTAATTTTAGAAACACCGCTTGCGTCAATCACGCGCCTCAGTGCGTCAAGCGTTCAGCCCGCCTCCGGGCGCCTGTGATTGGCCAGAGCAGATACGTGGCCAGAAAATCACGCGCTCTGTGATTGGCTGTAGTCGGCGTCCTCCTGGCCCCAGCTAAAGCCCTTGCTTTTATTACTAAGTGTTCCATTCTCGCCGTCGCGGTTCTGTCGGTTAGTATAGTGCGATGAAAACTGCTGCAAACTCATCAAAGCTGCATCCTATATGCGTTCCATAAATTTGAAGCATAAGCATTATTAGTGTTTCTAAATATACTTAGAAAACAAACACATGTCGTTTGTCCCTTTCATTCCTTCTCAGAATAATGTATGAGGAAAATAAGCTGCTACAATTCTTGCAGGTCCACCTGTTGAGACAATGCAAAGTAGGACGCTTCTCGCTGCATTCGCCGTTAAATCTTCTTGTTATTATCCCAGGGACCCACCTCTGACATTTTCACGGTGTTGGAACTTAATTTCCACGGTCATTTTGTTCAAGAAAATTTCACACTTTTAGTTTCCACTTCCAAATTTTAACGTGCAGGTAGCGCAATCTATGAATAGCTTTCTTAAAACAAACACCTCATATTTCTCTATAATAATCATATCCCGAAATATTGCCAGTGCTTCTTGTGCTTAATTTTCTGAAGTCTTATTTTTGGTACGAACATAAGCATTCCTTCACAAACTGCCAAAGCTCACGTTTGACGAGTACGACATTTCTTTGCACGCCTGAAGAAATTATATGAAGGAATGTGATTTTGTGTTCTGGCCATGAAATCTCTTGTAAAAACGTAACATGAATACTGCCTTTTTTTATTATGACCACAGATTTACAATTCCCCACTGGTTTTACTTTACATCAGAAGATCAATCCCAGCAACACCACCCCTCCACTTTTTTTTCTGGCACTGTGAAGAGAGGGCTCATATGTCTACTGTAGTTCGGCGAGCTTGAGCCGAGCTAGCGAGTGACGTCATATGTCCCATGGCGTCACATTGACGTCTCGCATACCAGTCGCTCTATGTAGAGCGCAGACACATAAATGTGCTATTAGACTTTCTCTCACAGAGCTCTCCACATAAACAAAGCCACATTGCAACTTCATCACAGCGCATCATCAGCATTAGTAACACGGACGCAGAAAACGGATCGCAGAAGTCCAGTGGTCATGCACCGGAGTATTTTTTGCTCTTTAGAATAAAAAACGAAAAGTAAAACAAATCTGTCACTACGTCTAGAACTACTGCTGTACTACTGTTACAACGACTATTTCATTTTTATGATAATTCCGAAAATCTACAGGAAACTTTAAGGGGGCTAATATCACATGTAAAGACGGAACCGCTACAGCAAGCAAGTATGTATCGATATGTTGTTTTTTTATTTACGATTCATTTTATTTATAATTATTGGACTTAACCATATAGCAGTGTTATGGCTAACGTTACTTAAATGACAGGTTACTTTTTTATCATTAATCCTTGGCTAACAAGAAACTTTATTATTATTTTCGTCAAAGAATAACTGAGCTCTTCGAAACTTTGTGAATTTGGATAAGGAAACCTGTTGAATATATGACATTGTAACAGACCGAGAGCGGAAAGAACACGGTTTGATTGTACGATTAATGTCTGGCGAATGGAGGCGATTTCGAAGAGAAAAAAGGTATCATATTCTTTCTGGTTGTCATGGAAATGAGATGCCATTCACCGACAGCCTGTAGCGCTGAAGCAGACCTAGGAGATGTAACGGTGATACAAGTTTTTGCGCCTTTCTTCGGACAAAGTTGTCTGTGCTCTGAAAACGGAATATTTTTTTTTCTCTATGCTTCGTTACTATCGGTAGTCATATTGTTTCGCTTAATAATGATTCGCATCTTTGATTTGCCTGTGCCATCATTTATTATAACTGACCGAAGGGTAACTGTGACCTTATTTTTTCGCCACGTGTGTGTTAACTCTCACAACATATAGACGTATTGTTGCGTAGGGATTGTTCAAGGTGAATTCGCTAAAACGCTATCGGTTTCGGGGTGATTTGTAATGGAAAACGAACCAGCCTGCGAAAGATTAAAATAATCCCGTGTTATAAAGTTTGCTGAGCTCGTGGATGACTCCGTTGATGACACTTTACGAAGAATAGCCTTTACATCTTTGAATAAATATCCAACTGATGCTCCGTTTTATGAAGCGGCATCTATTCGCATTGCAGTCTCGGTAGTTACTGATCTTGAATGGACTTATTTTCATATGAGGTTGAGTTGCATCTCCGGTATCAATTCTGTTTTTTGTTCTATGTTAGGAACCGCAGATAATATACAATACAGCTATATGGCAAATACATGCGCAAGCAACAGAAACTGTAGAGTCAGGTGACAACTATAGGCTATTCTGAACAAAGTCTCAAGAAAAAAAGCGAAAACTCTTCTTATTTTTACATTAGCCTGCTGTCTGAAATTTAAGTCTTAGTTCAGAATGGGAAAAGTTAAAAATTGTGTCCTTCCCATACTGCTTGATGGCTGATTGCACGGCAAGAAAATAACACGGGTTTCATTTTGGGCAATACACACATCATCAACTAAACACAAATGGAAATCACGTTATTTTGTCGTTATAACGATCGACAGTCTACGTTCAACGCACCATAAGGCAACTTAGACCAACTGTGGATAAAATGTTGCTATGTCTTTTTTCGGATTGTCCTCGTGCTCAAGATGTTATAAATTCTCGTTTTCATTTAGGCCTAGCAACATTAGTTTTACTCCTGCTTTTTGAACATGTATTGCGATATTTCAGAGTTGTTTGGCAGTTTTTCGTGTGATTTAGCCTACTTATAGCCCAAGTAGACACAAAAATCATCTCTTGACAGGTTTCACTTCTTCAGCTGATTTACTGTAGTCTACTTGTAGCTTTTCGTTTTTCGCTGTCTTTCTTTTTCTTTCTCCTTTCTTCACTTGTCTGCCAGAAAGCCACTTACTGTCTGGCTTATTAAAGTCGGGCGCTACCGCCTATCACAAGGTGCGTGTTTAAAAGACCATTCACGGTTCTCTAGGTAACCAGTCCCCGATCGCTCCGGATGGATCAGCGAGTGAAAAATAACCACACCAGTTAGCTTCTGTTGGAAACATGTAGCCTGGTAATGGTCTATTTGAAGTGATGATTGCGAATCCATCTTTACAAAGCTGAGCGACCGAAGAGGCACGCGTTTGAATTAAGAAAACACAAGTTCGGCATGAATTGTTGAGAAGAGGGAGAATTTGCCAAGTTGTGATATACCTTGGCAGTTATTGTGAAGACGAGACTGAGTGAAAGCGTGGTGTCTTATAAGTCTGCTTCTGTGTAGGCTACTGTAGTTGAAATCGGATTGGATTCTATATAAATCATATTTTATCTTATATTAATTGCTTCACTGTCTCCATTTGTTCTGGTATTATTATTAACATCATTATTGCTATCATTACTACTACTAGGCAACTACTAACTTGTTACTGTCTCACAATACTGAGTTTTCGAATTAACTTAATATTGGAAGGCTGTTTTATTTTAGTTATCTTACTAGTTCCAGTAACATGGCAAATCTGCACATATGTTGCATGCGATATTTAAGTCCGGAAAAGTATATGTGTATTAACAAAATGTGTCATTTTGCAATCAGTTAAGTGATTCATAGTTTTCGGAATTATTAATTAATTGTCTTGCCGAAGCATAAATTCTATCAAGTTAGAAACAAGGGTACCGAAGTGGCTTGATTTGTTTAGACATGCTTACGCAGAGAGGGGGCGCTGTACCCTTTTAAATAGTCTGTTCTTGGGCGCTTGAATGCATTTCAAAGTTGAAGGCGTAGGACGCGCGCGGACAGTTTCATTTTATGGACTAACTCAGGTGGATATTGCTACAAAGGTAACTGGAAGTGTGTGAGATGTTGTGAGTTGCTTGAAATTCAAAAACTTTCACTTTTTAAAAATAATATATGATTGTACTCATATTTCCATTGCTGTTGCGTTGTTATTCATTTCTGAACTCAAATGTATTGTCTGTTGTGTTGGCAGTTGCCTATCTGACATTTGCGCGTGCTTGATTTTCAGTTTGTTTGGATGTGAGATTGTTATGTCATGGCGAGTAGGATTCTGTTCTTTATCTCCTCTTCTGAATTTCTGTTGAATTGTATGAATTGCGATGTGCATGCTCTCATTTAAAGCTTGATCTCTATAGAAAAAAAGTTAATTTTACGTTATTCTTGCTAAAAAGGTTATAGTTGTATATGTGTACGAAGTGAAATACATAGATTTTCACTCGTAATCAAAAATTAATTTATGTGTTGTAGTTTTGTCCGGCTAAATGTGTCTTTATGCTTCATTTAATAAGACAATGTTATATTAATGTCGTTTAAAAAAAACGTTATATATGAATATACATTAGTGTTAAAGCTGATCGTTTGTAATGATTGCAGCTGCATTAGATTTGTGTTTGCAGTTTATTCCTCATAGTAAATATCCGGAAATTGATGTGGGAGACCCTTTGCCTACTAATCGCATTTTTGTCGATGTTTTATATATTAATCCTCGCGAATTAAAAGTTTGAAACAAAAGTTTGGGCCTAGTTTGCTTATACAGTTTTGCGTTGGTCTTCATACAGCCCCCGGTTCGAAAGAGCGCCCCCAGCCGAGCTCTGAGACCCGGCCGTCGGACACTGTAACTACCGAGGCGTCTGTTGCAGCTGCCTCTCTCCATCGCCTTGTACCAACTCCGCTGAGAAAACCGACCACAATTCAGCGTGCAAAATTTCAACCAGGTAAATCTCATTCATGGTTGAGATGATAACTCATTATAAAGAGACAAACATGTACGAAGGAGCAGAGAAAATTCTAACAGTGAGAATGGGTTTGTCTGTTTGTTTGTTTGTTTGTTTGTTGAATTACATATCTATAGACATAGAATTCTACCAACCAACAGTCCTCTTAATCATACATCTATCATCTACAAACTGTAATAATTAGCATCGTGCATTAAATACATTATGATACTTTTGATTCTTATGGTTTGTGTTTTTGATTATTCTGCTGGTTTATTATTTCAATAACAGTATTATTTCAGTGCTGAAAATATATGGAAATTATTGCATAAATGCGATTTTAAGTCCAAGAGAACACAGATCATGCTTCATTTTCAATTGTCCCCACAGGAAATAAGTACTAACTATAGATATAACTCTAAAGAAATACAGGAAAACTTGTGAAATTATTCATGAAGGATTTTTTTTTTCAAAAAGCATATTTATACACACACATACATACATTTATTATGAGAAAATATATATTACAAATAGTAACGGTTCACGGTGTAGTACAAGATAGTGATTTGTGAAACGCACATCATGCAACATTTTGTTGGATTGGAATGAAGAATGAGGACAAAACACCAGCGTCCATCCGGCTGAGGGGACGAGGCGAGAGTCGCGGAGGTAAAAAAAAAAAAAAAAACCCTGAACACGCGAGCGCCGCGACAGAGTTCATAAATAAACAGGTTACACAAGTACAGGAATGCTGAGCAGTGGTATGTAAATGCTCTTTTTAAGTTAGACTTTTCTTTTTTTCTCAATCAAAGGTGTCACTCCCTCGACTCGTTCCCACAGCTACTTTTATCATAATGACCTTAATGACTCCAGTGATTGCGCGTTGAGTGTGTGTTTGCGTGCGTGGTGAAGCGTCTGCTGCCGCATGGTTTGCGCAAATATTCTTGTATTTCGTTCATTTTCAATTTTCGCTGGATGTATGGCATTCTGGGAATGAACAAGCGCGCCCAATTTTGGGACGGCTTCATTTCATCCACCTAAAATGCACACCTCGAGGTTACAGACCGCTTTAAAATTCAGCTCCATCCGCTTTATTCTTAATCATTTCGAAAGCTTCTGTCTGAGGCATTTTTCTTTGATGGGCTGTTTGGTTTTTGCTGTTTGGCAGTTTGAGTCTTCTGTGCTGTCCTTTCATACGTGGACAGATGTCTGGAATTAATAGTATTTTTTAAAATATTGAAATTTTGCCCTTATCGCTTTGAAAAGGTGGATTCATATGCATATTAAAGTTTGAGACGATGAAAATTAATTTATTCTAAAGTTAAGCCTGTGAGGTAGTAATTATTGTACATTTTATTCTGGGGGATCTGGTCCAATTAATTTCTAAATGGTCTGCGTGACAGTTTAGGTGTTGTAGGGGCAGGTAAATACGGTCTTGATTTCCACTGCACCATAGGCAAGTTCACCATTATTCGATAAGTTATTGTATTGACATTTTCTTGACATTTGGGGATAGTCCTCGCGACTCGTTATGTAAGCAAATGCAAATTTTGCTGAACTTGGATATTTAAAATATGTACCTGCAGAGCTCATGATGGCGTTTTCTTAATAATGTGAAGTGAAGGCAAACAGTATACAACATTTCAGCCATATGTATGTTATGAAAAAGTTTTATTTGTACAGGCGACTCCATGATGCTGCAAGCTAATGGTCATTATTAGTAAAGCATTCGTTTGAAAAACCTGTCATCCTGCATGAAGCTCAACGTTAATGTGAAACAATATGAAAAGGTTACAATCATGGGAAAGGTTTATCATGGGAAAGAGAGGGAATCAGTATGTCCTAATATTTCTTTCTGTTGCGTGTAAGGTCCACTGGCGTTGACTTCACAGAAATGTGTAGCGGAAAGTATGCCCGCGTAATAGGGTATACTCGGCATCATAAATACAACAGCGTGCGTCGCCGGAGGTCATTTTGACGGAAATTGTATGATCACGTTAGTTAAAGCGGAAGATGCCCTTGGAGGTGGTGGTCTCGAAGGAGTGCACTGGGGAGAGTGTCCCACCCATCACCGGCGGTACAGGGGCAAACCGCCCTGACGTCACGGCCTGTCGGGCTCTCCCTTCGCACCCACCCTTTCCAGTGAGTGGGCGAAAAGCTTCGCGCAGGTTTCGTAAAAGAAACTTTGACTCATGTAACAGTCTAATAAAAAAGAAGGAAAATGGCCGTAAAATTCTGTGATGACATCATATGTAATATTGGGCCTATCTAGATGCTGCACGAAAGAAAAAGGTGTTATAAAACACAAATGACGTAACAAAAGTCTAAATGCCAATTTCTTTTTAATTAGGAATCATTTGTTCAGCTTTTTTGTTTCTGAAAAAAAATATTTCTGCAACTACATTTTCTTAACCAAGCACCTAATTTAAGATTACATTTTTTTTTAAGTATTATGCGGTATATTTTGTTAATTGTAAACCATAATATATAAAATGTGTTACAGTACAATCAACAAAGTCTTTAAAAAAACTACACTTAAAAAAAATCGAACCGGAATTAGTTTCCGACTAATTACATTAAACCGTGATCGCACACAGAGCTCTGATTTTACTGTCTCCCATTGATAGCTCGTTTACAATGTGTGTGTGTGTGGGTGTCTTAAATAACACGTGTCTGTGTGTTTGTGCGAAACGGAAAGACGGTGGACAGCGAGAAAGGATAGACTTTATTTACGCACACCGCTGTACATAATTGATAAGTCTGATTTTATCAAGCAAATATTACGTACTGCCATATTGGAGATTACGGGGACAACAGACGAAAAAAATCTGTTTATGCAGTGCCAGTGAGACATCCACCTTGTTGACAGTTCCTCGGTTGAAAGAAACGAGCAAACAGGTGCACTTCAGTGCGCTCACAGGAACGATTGATTGCAGGCCTGCTCCCTTACCTTTATACACACACAAACTCACACACACACTCACACACACACCATACATTCGTAAGTACTCCTGAGGTCGTTGATTGAAATAAACCCTTTTCGTTGTTCCTCCTCACTCACACTTTGCAGGGAATACACTTCAGACCTGTTTGTAATTTCTTTTTGCAACTTGCGTGTTTGTTTTCAGTGTATATTATGGCTTGCAGTGCCAGACAGTGTTGTATAATATTTAGCCTATGTTCAAATTATAAAGCAGTTTTATTAGTAATACACAGAGAATGTTTTTCCCCAACAGAACTAACTGCAATGACATTAAGAACAGGAACAGTAAGTAGTAAGTAGAAATGCGATGCATGTCTTGGTTGCTTTTTTGACACCTGCCTACGTTCCTCCGCATACCTGGGGGGTCGTTCCATTCTAAATGCTGGGACCAGTGGGTGCGTGAGCCAGGCGCTGGTTCCGTTGCGTAAATTTACTGTTACACCTCATTGGCTAAGGAGTGTGGCATTGTGCTTCATCTTTATGTTCTCACATGTCATTTGTCAGGGTTTGTCTGTGACACAAGTCTGGAGTTTTGGGCAATGGTGCATGTACATTAATGCTTAGATATCCAGAAGGACCTCCAGAAGATCAAAAGAAGGCATATAGCTACACGAGAAGAGCGGATAGGCGTTACTCACAAATATAATTAAAAAACCTGAAACTTGAAAATCAGAAATCCGTGAGAGAATTTCTAAGATTATTCCTGGGCTGGGGACTGAGCGTGAGTTTCACAGCCCTGGATCATTCAGAAGTCGTCTTCATCCCACACAGCAAACCACAGGGGTTTGTCGCGGACACAGTGGTGTCTATTAAAATTTAACCAGTGCACAGGTAATAAGTCAGGGATGCCTTAGTTATTCATCTGAGAAGCTCCTCACTGCCTCGGTAATGTCATTAGGCAGCCAATTGACGCTGAAGCAATATTGCATTTTGGGTAGTATTTGTGAATGGCTTTGCGGTGAGGTGTAATTGGCTCTGAGCTTGTCATATCTGGTCATTTTTTAAAACTGTGTCCTGGAATGTTTGTGTTCTGAGGCTGCGTTGCTGATCTACACTTCGCCTCAAAGGGGACGTGCCTTTGTGTGGCTTTGCATGGCTGGTGGCGCATGCTGGCGCTGACTCCGTGCCTCTGGTCCTGGGTGGCCTTCTACAGCAGCTTACAGGAGCTCCAGCTCAGCTCCACAGTACACTTGTCAGCTGAGCAACTAGCATGTTGATCCTCAAAGTAAGGCAGCACTGATACAGTTGGGGAGGCCCGGGAACCTCTTACGGAGTGTATTTAGGAAGCTTATGACATGCTTTTGAATGGTGGTGTCTGTGAATGATTTTTTTTTGTTGTGGGGGGGAGCTGTGGTATTTCTGAGATCTTTCTTTCACCTCTCTTCCTCACTGGTTGTGCTTACAGATATGCCCTGTGTGCAGGCCCAATATGGCCCCGCCCCCCCCGGATCCAGCTACACCAGTCAGACCTTCTACGACTACAGCTCTGAGCTCATGAACCCGGACTACACCAAGCTGACCATGGAGCTGGGTGGAGGGGAGATCTCTGCGGCGGCCACCACCTCACTGCCCAGTTTTAACGTGTTTGTGGACAGCAGCTACGAGCCCAAGTCCTCCTGCCTCTACCAGATGCAGGGCCAGCGGTCCTTGATAAAGAAGGAGGAAGACCCTTACCCCGCACCCCCCCAGCTGTCTGAGGATGCCATTCCCAGCACCTCCATGTACTTTAAACAGTCTCCACCCTCCACGCCGACCACTCCTGGCTTGCCAGGCGCGCCCAGCACCTCCTTCATCTGGGATGATCCTCATCACCTCCCCCAGGTCCCGCCCAACTGCTCCCTGATGGATTCTGGTGCCCTAAAGTCCCCCCGTTTCCCGCCCTTCTTCGACCATTCCCCCCCGCACGGCAGCTATGACCCGGTCCCGAGGCCGCCGCCTCCCTCGTCCTCGTCCTCCGCGTCGGCCGTGCAGCACCCCCCTGGACTGGAGCCCCACATGTACCCGGTGCGCTTAGGGAAGCCGGGCACCCTACACTTCCCACTGAGCATGGGTCCCTGCACCCCCATCCTCGGGGAGGGCACCATGCCATCGCCTCCTGGCCGGTCCGGTTCAGGGGAGGGTACCTGTGCCGTCTGCGGGGACAACGCCGCGTGCCAACACTACGGCGTGCGCACCTGCGAGGGCTGCAAAGGCTTCTTTAAGGTAAATGCAGCATCGCCGTCACTACCTGGCCTTCGTGGGCCCAGGCGAAGCAAAGGTGGCTCTCTGGAAAGTCAGGAAAAGGTTACAGTCGGCGATGGGGCTCATCGGGTCTTTCTGAAATCTCATGTCAGGAACTTTACCGTAGAATGAAATCCCAGGCAGTGCCCTAAGGAGTAACGCGTCACTAGTAAATTGTAGCACCAATGATGGCTTTAACTGCTATATCCCTGGGAACCAAACTGCCTGGTAGGAGGCTGTGTGAAGCTGTAGAGTTACACATTAAAAAATAGCTAAATTGTGGTAATAACTTGGGGTTTACCCTACTGGTGATGTTCAGTCAATTACCGTTAAGGTTTAAGTGCCTGAGTCAAGAGAGAGGCGGCTGAAGCAAGCTTTCCCATCGGGATGTTTCCACGGAGTTGTGTTGGCAGGCGTCGTCGTAACATCGAGTCTCCCCACAAATCGTTCCGTGTCGAGGCACCGGGCCGCGGTGGTGAGCGGTTGCCACGGCTCCTCGCGAGGGCCGTTTCCCTCGGAAACCAGCGATTCTGCAAAACATTGTTATGCATGTCCTGCTCACTCCCCCCATCTCCCATGCCCCCCCCCCCCCCCCCCCCACCCCGAAGCAGCACGACGGCGTTGGGTAGTGAAAACATTGCGCTGTTCCTGGCTTTCCGCGAATTCTCTTAGAATGAGATTTTGCAGACCTTTAAAAGAATGTAAAAGAAAATCCTGAACAGAACTTGGCCCAGGAAGAGAATGTGTGGAAGTATGGAAATAACTTACTGGAGGTACTCTGTTGCGTCACTGGGTGGAAGAATCCATAGCGGCCATTTTTTTAAACTACTCAAATGGATGCCTGGATATTTGACCGGATGATGCTTTGACCGTTTGCCGTCTGTGGTGTCGATTAAGATATTCTTACTGTTATCTCTAAAAAAAGGCTGGGGTTTGTGTGGATGGTTCTAGAATGTATTATAAATGTAGCTTTTAAAGACAGTCTCAGTTTCAGCCTAAACAAAAAGCCAGCATCATATGGGCATCTTAAATACCCTTATATAGATGGTTTCAATTATTCAGTTTTATGTCAAACATAATTTCAAAACACAGTTATTACACTGCAGAATTTTACACAATTTTCAGTGATGGTGGTATTTATGGGCCAATTTTCCCCGCAACAACAATTCAGAAAGTAATGATTTTACTCATGATGTTTCAGTTGCTCTGTGCTTAATTATACAGATTAATTCAAACAAAACCAAATTATACGAACTGAATGAAATTCTTTCCTATTTTTCTTTTACAGGAGTATAAAATTACTAAGCTGCTTTTGTCAGAAGTCCTTCACATAAAGTTTAATAATACTTGCCCATATTTCAGACACATTGCCACTAAAATCATTAACATATTTTGTGCTGTAATTACATGTTTTAACTTTATAAAATCTTAGTGTAGTATAACAGCAAACGATATTGACATGACAAATAATGCACTGGAATGCATGATCTGTCCATTTATAATCTGCTTATTACTGACAAGTTAGAATTTCCACTTGCGAGTATTTTATTTTGCAAAAAATAAATTAGTACAGGCTATGAGGCACAATTTAATAATTTGCTGCTGTTATCAGCTCGTTTCACAATTTGATTTAGTAATTAAGTCAGAGGCTGATTTGCCCGCTTTTGCGTCTGTCTGGCCGCTTTTGGTGCTTCGGAGGCGCCGCCAAGGGCCTCTGTCTCTCCGCATACAGGGAGCCGAGTGGTGCAGGTTAGCGAGCCACTTAAAAAATTAAAATAAACAATTCACCTCGGCTTAAGCATACGATGTCACGCAGAAATGCAAAAACACCCAGCGGCTCGCCGGTTTAGAGACACGCCGCGGCCGCCGCTGATACACTGAGATGCTGGTCTGCCTCCGGTGCGCCTGTGCGCGTGGACCTTCTGTCTCTTTAATTATATCATCGCAAGGTCGCTGCCCTCCTTAATTGAATAGATGTTATGTTTGATATTCTAAGGGAACATTTATTAATTTATTCACATCTCGTACTTTCTCCGATATTGTCGTGTAATTAAAGCTGTTTTCGTGAGCGCGACTTCCCCTCAAATCAGATGGTATTCCAGGTTAAATAGCTCGAATACCTCCTTCGCCTTTCCCTTCACTTAAGTGTAATCGAGTGCATCGCTTACTTAAACTGGAACCGATTATTTGGGCAAATTTCATGAAAGTTACAAGCATTTTGAGGTCCATTGGTTATGTGTTGCTGATTTTTTTTTATAGAAAAAGTCTTTTTGTTCTGCCATATGACCCCTCAGGTTTTCAAATCCTTCTGGAGCAACTCAGATTTGCCATTTGCTCAGAATGCCGACAGACACGTAGGTGTGCGCATGTAAGTAACGGGACGTCATTAGCCGTCAACATGAGACGTTCAGAGCCGGCAAGTCAGACGGTGGGTGTATGAAGAGCAGTGACAGCGAATCCCTAAACCCACACTGACTCTGTTCATATTTTTGGCAATAAGGAAAAGTCCGCCTAAGAGAAAGTGATTCCTTTAGCAAATATGACAATGAATGTACAATATATTAAGTAGTGTATTTTTCGTAATCATCTTCAAATAATTGTTTTTTTTTTTTTGCCAAAGCAACTATAACCTCTAGTTGTCTGTAGACATTACGGGAGGTACAGCTCCTATCACCCTTTTAGAACCTGGAGAATTTTCTGATTCGTAAAGGTTCTGTGGTTGAACACTACGTAAACTCCATATGAAACAGCTATAACTAGTGAAATAAAAACCGGTTTTTACAATTTCATAAACCTGTAATCCAACCAAGCTGAACGGACGTAACGTTAACCCACGCCTCGCTTACTCAGCCAATTAAAGGTGACCCAGTTCACTATTCTCCAGAAAAATAAATAAATAAACAACATTGCAAGAAACCGCAAGCGCCCGAGCACTTTTAATTAGGAGGGGGCCGACGGCGGCCGCCGGTCCGGCAGCCTACGGAGAAACTGCCCGTCTGATAGACGCTGATTAGGGGTGGAGTGGAGGGGGTTAGGGAGGGGCGGCGTCCCTGAAGGCTTTTAATTTAAGCTTAGGCTATTAGCACATGTTACATGGCATGAATCTGCTTCTGCTAACCCCTCCAGACTCTCTCAGTATGGGGAGGGTGGGGGGGGGGTTATCGGACATGAGTGGATTTATGTATGTATTTGTGTGTGTGTGTGTATATATATATATGACTGATGCTTGCAGTGTTGGGGGTCAGTTGGGGGGGGGGGGGGGGTTACTGAGATTTCAGCTTGCCTTTATTTGCATTGCTCATACCCCTTGTGGAAGGATTCGGGGTCAGATGGCTTGATCTGGGAGCTCCGGCCAGTTTGCACTGAGCGCCCAAACACACGCCTGACCGAAGGAACATGATGACATTGAGGACAATGCATGATGGGTAATGGGAACATAGACACAGGAGGGCTAAAGAAACTCTGAGATGAGCCCAATGCAGGACTCGTCTTCCTCCCCTGTCAGCCTCAGCAGCCAAAGGGGAATTCTGGGAAACGGTTTCATTACGGTCACAGTTAGTGCTTCTCGCATGGTCCTGGGGTCAGGGGTAACTCGACTGTGTGTGTACTTGTGGAAGCTTCTCCACTGTGTCAAACAAGGTGCAGGTGACTCATCATTTTGACCTTGTCACATGATACATTTAAGGAGCGGCCACGGAGCTGCCCGGACAGGTACGGAGGCTCTGTAAAAGACCGTTCCCTTAGACTGTCGTCACCCACCCACGAACCAGAGGAGCAGTGCAGATTGGTCACAGCATCACCCTGATTGCCAAGGTCGTTTGCAGCTGCGCCACCTAGGGGGGATAGCAGGAGCTCACGCTCGGCTGCAATGCATGTGCATTCATTGCAGGGTTCGCATTAAAACGATTACATGAGCAGAAGCTGTCAAGGGCTACCCCTTGGATTTCTGTGAACCATATGACAAATTTCTTCATTGACACTCACGGTCCATTTCTTTGTGATGGCTGCCTTTTCTTCTTCGAGCATCCAAGCCAGTTCAGGCTGTTTTTCTTGGAATTCCTGCTAAAACTCTTTGAAAACAGGGCATGATCTTTAGAAATGCACAGAAATGCACCACACCAAAATCAACAGCTTCTGCATGGGGCACACCCCGCACAGGATTGCAGTCCATAGTAGGACACACAAGCAACGCAGGGAAGTTTAGAGACCCCAGCTCTCTTAGCTGCGTGTCTTTGGGGTGCAGGTTAGGAGCACGGGGAGAACATGCAAACTACATACAGGTTTTAACTGCTACATAATCAGCCTCATTGCCGCCAAGTGACTTTTCATAAATAAATCACAATATATTTTAAATCTGTGGAACGTCGATATGGAGCCAGAACAATACACAATCTCTTCATTAGTACTCATTGTCTTTGGTATAGCCAGTGGAAACCACAGTTTGGGTCAGATGGTGTGGTCAGTAGATCAAGAGATGAGGCAACCAGAGAAGACGAGAGAGAGACGTCCTCATTGGGGGTGGGGCCTCACCGCTGCAGCAGTCATCACCCATGGAGAGATGGGGGGTGAAGTGGACTAATGAAGCATCTTTTGTGTAGGAAGGAGGTGCATGGGAAAATGTGGTGCACATTTTGCCCCCCAGCTTGCAGAGCATGCTTGGCCTGGGGAGGAGACTGCGGGGGGTGGGTGGGGGGGAGTTGCACAGCTTTCTCTCTAAGCATATATATCCTAAGCATGGTTAACTGAGCTTTTTTTGCAGATGTTTAGGGCAGGGCTCTTCTGATCTGGCCCTCGATTCCAAATCCAAGCCGTGTTTTCAGTCCTCCCAGGTAGTTTAATAATTACTGATCCTGATTGGGCACATGGGCTTCACACCTGACTCACAGGTAAAGGAAGGCTGGAAAATCAGCAGGGCTCGGCCCTTGTGGACCATGACTTCAATAGCCCTGGAGTAGAGCTTTCCATTCATAATTTATATAAAAGACAGAGGCAAACTAAGGAGTTATTTAGTGCAGCCAATGAGGCAGCTATCATTGCGTTTGGCTGAAACCTTACATACATAGTTCCCAGTATAAAGGTGTTGCCTCAGAGGAATGCTAATTAATAAGTTTGGTGACAAACAGGAAACCCCTAGTATAAACTAGGTTCGTTTATAATGGACGATTCGACTTTAAATAGAACCTTCCACCCGTCTAACTTCTCACTTACACTGCCCAAGGTCACGGTGTGGGAGGCACCGGACAGCATAGGCACAAGGCTGCTATGGGCGGTTAGATAATCCGTCATCTGTAAAATCCTGCATACGATCAAAAGCTTTATACGGGGTCCATTTTTTTTTTCCTTAAAAAAAAAACTTTTATAGCAACACCAAGATTTGTGACTTACCCTGTATAAGGTTTTAATGGCCGAATGAGCACAATATATCTGTTATGCCTACGACTGCCTGAACTATAAAATTGCCTACTTATCATATATCGTGATGCATGGTATGAATGCGGAACAGTGGATAAAGAAAAACGCGCAAAACAGCAAATCATCTCATTTTCAAATGCTTAGTGCATCGTCCGTGGCTTAAGCATCCAAACCCCGGAATACAATATACAGGCAATTTAACTAAAATGGGATCCCATTCCGCGGAATTTGACTTGATTATTTAGATCTGAGGGTTCATTTCCTTCTTGTGGAAGTGGAACATAGAATAATTGCTTGGATATTAATCTCCCATACAAGAGGACACGTGAGACGCGCTCGGCTGTAATTATATTCATTTATTTTGATGCGTATCAGACTTTCCGGCTAAGCGACATTCTCGCACCTCTGGCGCAGCCGGCTGCGCAGGGACTAAGGGTGTCCGCTCTTATTTGCCTTACTCCTACACCCTCGCGTGCTTTTCTGATAATAACACCTGTTTAAGTGAACCCAAGTGGCATTAATACCCCGGTAGACGAAGCTTTCACCTCACTCTTCAAACAAAATTCACCCTAGGTTAAATTGTCTGAAACGGCATTAATCGGATTTTGTACACGTTATGTTAGGTAGGCTATAGATTTTTTTTTTTGTAATCAACCCTTTAATGATTTTCAATGCTAAGTGGAAAAGAATACACACTTCGGGTTAGATTATTAACTGCTTAAGCATAAAACTGCAAAACAATTTATATCGTTGTTGAAACATCAATTTTACCTATATAAATTGGGTAGTATGTTTTGAATTTTGTATTTTCTGTATTAGCGTCCATGATTGACCGTGCGCTTGGGTCTCCTATGCGGCGCGAGGAACTCAATTACTTCTTGTCTTATTTTGTACTTGGAAAAAGTGGTGGCAACAGAAGTGAACCCAGATCGTTTTGATTTCATTTTAATAAGGTCAGTAATAATCGCGGGGAGCCAGCCGAGGAGAAAACAATCCCCAAAGGCGCAATTGAGAGGCGAGATGCGGAAAAGCCCGCGGGAGGCGCGCGATGACCCCGGAGTTTCACAAACAATTTTATCACGCGGCGTTGACTGTCTCGCGGGACCCGCTTCAGCACGCGCCTCGCTGATTCTCATTGTCAGCGGCTCGCGCTAATAAAATTGTCCCTCCTGCAGGCGAGCATGTTAGGAAATTAATTTTATCTAATTATATTGATGCCACCGTAGCTTTTTCACATTGTAATTAAAATCTGACCTGCAAGCTTCTTTTTTAATTCTTTCCAGGGGAAAAAAAGCTAATACAATTAAATAAATAAAGTGTGTGGTTCCCTCATTGTTTATTTCTCCCCATCACTGTCTCTCTGTAGAGAACCGTGCAGAAGAATGCCAAGTACGTCTGTTTGGCCAGTAAAAACTGTCCGGTGGACAAAAGAAGACGCAACCGCTGCCAATACTGCCGCTTCCAGAAATGTCTGAGCGTGGGCATGGTGAAGGAAGGTAATGTACCGAACTTAACAACCCTCAAAGGCAAGCCCACACGGCAAGGAGAGTGAAGTGGACCCATTGTAAACATGACCCCATGACCTTAAACAACTGTACACCACATATATGTAAATGGGCTGCATTTTATATCCCCAATTCCCAGCCAATCACAGAGAGCATATGCATGCGACCTTCCCCTGGACCCTCATTTAGTAAGAGATTGAGAAAAATTGGAGCCTTAATATAGCCTGTCCTGTGAGACTATGGCAAGGCAAAGTATGAGACTACCTAATGAATCCTCATCCACCAGCGCTGGCAGCTTCCTCATATGACGCTACACGTGGACTCCTAGGTCCCATCCATTACCGCGCCATCGCACCGCGGCTCCTGTAACTTCCGGTGCACGCTAATCAGCCCCCCCCGAGCGCTAATCATGGACGGCGGCGCCATTAATGACCCGACCTATTGCGGTGTCACAGACTGAGAGACCGTGCTGGCAGAATCAAAGCCGGCAGATTGCTGGACGCAGTTTCGTGCACTTGATGCGGAACTGCCAGAAACAACAGGTCCCCCCTGTACAACCTGATGTCTCATAAATCTGATTAAGGTGGCATGAATTTCTTCAGGGAGTGTTTATGTCCAGTCATCACATTAGCAGTGAAATCCAGAGACTCCTTTGCCATGCTTGTATGTTCTCAGAATTTGTCTGTTAGACATGTACAGCTACTGCCCTTGTACACGTTTGTGTGCTAAATTTGAGATGTCTGTTCCCTGTCCAGATGTATTTAAATACTCGGCACCGAGGTGCCCTCTACTGGTCAGGAACAGCTTAACTTCTTCCAGATTTTACCACAGTGTTCCCAGACTTTTAATTTTTTTTACTTTTTGCCTTCATGATCCCTTTGTCTCAGTAAGAGATGTCAAATGTCCTTCTCTGACTTTGTCCTGTCCTGCCTTCCCATGTTCTCTCTGAGCTCATGGATCCCTTGTTCAGAACTTGTGTGAAAAATCAGGTCCCTCAAAACTTTGGAGAAGTTCTGAAGTCCTGACCGTGATAGAAGCTCTGGTTGATGGTAAACCAGAGGATTGGATTCATGCTCTGGGTTATGTCCCTGGCTAACACAAAAAAAAGTGTGCAAATGAAAAAATACCTCAGTATTTATGTTTTATTTGCAAAGAGTCCACAGCGTGTACCAAAGCTTATATTTGTGTATGAGAATGAGGGGGTCTTAAGCAGAATTTGAAACTATCAATATTGCTACAGCAAATAGCCCAGATAATATCTGGAAAGAAAGCAGTGCCGATTCTGTACCTCAAAGAGATACCATCTGATATAGTCATAGGCCACTGTCCTGAGCACTATGAAATCTCCGCTTTTGACCACGGTAAACCGAACACAATAAAATAATTCGGTGGAGAAAGCTTTCCGATTGACCTTTGAATGCCAGCCTCGTCTGCAAATGATTGCAATCTGCCATCACCATTCTTGTCATAATGAAAACCTCCGCTGGTGAATATCAACAAGAAGTATTAGTATATTGCAAATGATTGGTTTGATTATGACTGTGCCGACTTCCCAGTTTACTGTAGTTTTACAACCAAATTTCACGCCACATGCTGAGTATGTTCACTGAATACAGTTCTTATACCATTTACATTACGCCGTTGTCCCGTTCTTTGATGTAACTATTCAGTCTTGTTATTTGGGGAATTTCTCCAGCCTGTGATTTCCTTATGATTCTTATCTGGATTCTTTGATAGCTTTTCATGTTATTTGTGGCTTCAGGATCTGTGCAGCTCGGGCTGATTGTGGTGTCACCATTCCTGCAAGTCCCTGTTGGCGGTGTTTACATTTGGGGGTGCGACTAAGCCTACCTCGCTCTTTCTCTGCCCCACCCAGTGGTCCGGACAGACAACCTGAAGGGCCGAAGAGGTCGTCTGCCTTCCAAACCAAAGAGCCCCCTACAGCCGGAGCCGTCACCCCCCTCACCACCTATCAGCCTCCTCAATGCCTTAGTGAGAGCCTACTCTCAGTCCACCCCCAGAGACCTGGACTACAGCCAGGTGAGGCTGCTCAGGGTGGGCTTTCGGGTGCCTGCAGGGTTCAGCACAGCTGCAGCTGAGTTCAGTGAAATGTCACTGCGTGCATCTCACTTCCACGCACCGCAGTGACTCCACAGTAATGACCATCTCTTCCACCGACTCGTTTTGTATTATTGAAACCTGACTCTGTGCTTTAAATCAGCTTTTCTGTCTAAATCCTAGTATGATCATCAAATCAAGCTCTCTAAAGAAATGGGGCCCTAGTAAATCAGATAATCAGATCATGTCATTAAAGCGGAACCACATATCTATTAGGTCAAGAATGGTACCAGGACGCATTATCAGCAAACTCATCCTTCTCTGGGTCCCGTCTTTTTCCATCTTTTGCCCCTTATCTTTTCTTATCCCCTCATCGTTCTGTCGCCGTGTCCGTCTCAGCCTCCTGTTGTCTCTGTATGTTCGTCCTCAGTTGACGTCATTTTCGCCGCTTGAGGAACATATTTACACTTTTACACTCCCGTCTCCCATTTAAAGTTACGGCGCATCACTGCATCCTGCACGTCTCTCCCCTCTCCGCAGTTCAGCGCCGTGGACCAGCCGTCCACCACCTCAGACGCCCAGCACATCCATCTCTTCTACCGCCTGCTGACCAGCTCCATGGAGGTGACGCGATCCTGGGCCGACCGCCTGCCCGGATTCTCCGATTTGCCGCGGGAGGACCAGACTCTGCTCATTGACTCCGCCTTCCTCGAGCTCTTCGTGCTCCGGCTGGCCAACAGGTGAGGGGATGCTGTGTCCCAAGACACTATTCCTGCCCCTAGACCCAGTATCGGGTGGGGTATCTCGTATAGGGGGCCGGTTACTACTAAGGGGTCGTCTCACCTGTAGGACCATCACCCCATCACTGTGGCACCGTTGCAGATGGTTAAAAATGGATACAGTGTTTTCAAACGGCAGTCCCTGGAATAATTGAATAATTAGCCTGTTGATTTATCTTCACTGGGGAGGACTGGAGCGAGTCACTGCCATAACCGGCAAGGTTAATGAGTCTCTGCAGTGAAGTGGGGCTCGTTAGCGTAATTAGACACACACCCTGCTAAAACAAAACATACATTTCCTCCTGCGGGGGGCAGGGTCTACAGACCCAGGTCTGGGTACAGGCAGATACCCTGCTTCTGGCTTGGAACCGAGATCCTGGGGTTGACACAGTGCTCCATGCCGAGGGGGGAGGGGGGTGGTTGGGGGGTGTGTGCGGGTTGCTGGGGGTGCCACGCCAGCCGTCCAGAGAATGAGCCTCTTTAAATTTATAGGCCAAACTCAGGCCAAAGAGACGCCTGCCTACAACTCCCCCCCCCCCCCCCCCCCCCCCCCACCTACTGGGCATGATTTCACATTGCCCCCCTTACACTCCCATCCCTCCCCCCCACTCTAGCCCTATGCAGCCTGAAACGGAATCACAAGTACAGTGATCCTTATGTACAATGATCCTTAAGTACAATGATCCTTACGTACAGTGATCCTTATGTACAATGATCCTTACGTACAGTGATCCTTAAGTACAATGATCCTTAGCCAGAGTCAGCTCAGTGACCACTTTCAGGTCGTCGTCTTGATTCCCTTTTGGTGGCCAGTCGATGCCAGTTGATCCCATTCTACTGAGAGCGACCTCTTCCGGTTTGCTTCTTGAGCTGGTACCACAAATCTGCTTGCTCATCGAAGGCCTGTAAATGCAGAGTCTCCCCCAGAGCTGGGCCTTAGTTGGTGCTCAAGTGCAAGATGGGCAGTGGGGGTTGGGGGGAGCGTGTGATGCAAGGAGCACCACGTGGGGGGGCCTTGGGATTGGGAAGTCTGACTCACATCAGGGCCCTCAGCAAAGGACGTTCCCCACACGTTCCTGGGGGACATTGGCCCGCTGCCGGACTGGGCTGGAGGCTCTCGCCGTCTCTTTCACGTGGCTGAATGCGAAGCCGCCCACAAGGGTGTGCGATGGCCGGGGCGGTATGACCCGGTTTGACGAGCGCTACCTGAGTCACCCTTCGAGGGATGTCGCAGATACCGACACGATTTTCGTGTCTTTGCTGAGAAACGAAATCCCCTGAATGTAGCCTCCCGCCGCAGCCTGAAGGGGGCTTTGGCATAGCCGCGGCGAGGCCTACAGGCCGTCACTGGGGACGCATGCGGCTGCACTGCGACCTGCAGGCTGCCGGCGAGAGGGAATGCAGCCGTGACGTCCCTATCGGCACGGGGCTGTGTGCGGACAGACCGTACACTTCTCTCTAAAACTGCCTCCTTGTGTTCTGTTGGGGCAAGAGCGCGGGGGAAACAAACAGCTCCTGTTTTCGCCTGAGAGCAGTGGGACTGCTGTCCCTACAGTGACCCCTTAAATCAGCTGACCTGGAGGCCCCTGCCCTCTTACCAGCGAACAAGGGCTATTCTGACAAGGGCCCCCGTCTTACTTCCCCACTCCTCGAGAACAGAAGGACAGTTTGTTGGTCTTTCGTGAGAGCTGTGGATACTGTTATTTTTTTTCTCCTTTTTTTTTCATTCTCTCTCTCGCTTACTGCCTCTCTTCTGCTTTCCCCCCCCCCCCCCCATCCGTCGCTGTGGTTACTGGGGTAGGGGAGAGTTTCTCTGGAGACTGCTGTAGTCAGGGAAGAGGGAATGAGGAGGAGGAGCGACTGATGACTTTGTTGCCCAGAAGTGATAAAAGCGGAGGTCGCTGGGGGAGGGAGCTCTCTTTGGGGCCGTGTGTGTGTTGCTCATGTAGCCTCTAACCATTGTCTGGAGACGGCAGAGCCATTGACTCCCCCCCTCCCCCACCCTAATACCCTACACCCCTCCTCACTTCTTCAATTGTCCATTCCACTCTGACCACCCCAAGTCCACTCACCCTGCATTCACATTAACGACCCCCCCCCCCCCAGCTCCTGTGTTGTTCGTGGACCCTTTGGCTCTTAATGTCCTGAGTTGAGCAGTGCCCCCTCTCCCCCCTCCCCAGCAGCCAAGAACGAACTTAAACCCATTAGCCAGTATTAATAAAGCACATGTTTCCTGATTAGCCGGAACCCGGGGCGGCAGACACAACCAATGAGCTTTTAATATTCTCTGTTACTTTTCTGTTTGTGTGTGTGTGTGTGTGTGTGTGTGTATGTGTGTGTGTGTGTGTGTGTGTGCCCTGTGATTGCCCTAAAGGCTCTCATCGGTTTGCTTGCCCTGATATTCCACACCACATTTTCTGAAACTGGGGGGCAGTTGTCTGGAGAAAGCGTTTTCCATTGTTAATGGTCGGACCTTTGTGATTAATTTCATTTCACATTCACCTGAAGCCCAGTTTGATGGGGGAATCGTTTTTTCCTGCCGCAGAAGTTTAAAGCTTAATATAAGAGATAATGAGATTTTATTTATTGTTGTATCTTTTATTTTATTAGAATGTCAGAGTGCTGTGATTTGTTAGCTTACACTTCATTCCCATTCTTATGCGTTTACTGTATCGTTCTTGTGCGTCGTAATGTGAGCGATTTCCTTCGGGATTAATAAAGTCTTCTGATTCTGATTCTGATTCTGATTCTGATTCTGATTCTTCCAAACAAAAGGCACCAGAAAGAAAATGTGGCCATGTTTAACAGGAACCGCTAAGAATGGCGGCCAACATGCTACTTTCGTTTGAACGTTTGTGGAAGTGGCATTGATGCCGCAGTGATTTAATAAATAACAGTCGCTCGGCTGGTGTTTGCGCAGTGGCGCAGGTTTAGGGCAAACGGGGACCTGCTTTCTCGGGATAACAGCTAGGATTCCGTCTTGTGCCAGAGCTGTTCCATAGCAGAGCAGGACCCATGTTCCCATGGGAAATGCAGGCTGAGGAGAGTCACCCGCCTTTTAGCTTCCAGGTTGTGAGAACTAACTGCAGTACCGACTTTTCATATCATTTCAGGAATGTTACCGAACGAGAAAAAAAAAACCTTCATTTGGAAAACACAAGTTAATTGCTAGCATTCCTGTCCATCTTTGATGTGCGCCTTTTCCCCCCGTGTTTCTAATTTATTGCCGTTGTAATTATTTCCTCTCTTAGTCTAAAAACCGCAGCCAATGGGAATCCTGATCTTTTGCATGTGACTCCCAGCCTGCACTGGGCTACTGTCTCAAATTTTTGCAGAGCAAAAGTATAATGTTCTTACTGGTTTATTATTGAATGTTTTTCATTTGGGCCTGCTGCAGTGCTTTCCGCTTTAGCCCTATTACTGCTGAGCTTGATAGGAAACACGTGTTTAATGTTAAGAGTATAACTCTTTTTATAGTTACACTGAAATACAGAGTAACACCTAATTAAAACCCAGCAAAATCCTCTCACGAGAGACACAGAATGGACTGTTGCCACTGTCCAGCGGACTCAAGCCGGCCTTTCTGCTACCCTGCAGGTCCATCCTGGCGGAGGACAAGTTTGTTTTTTGCAACGGGCTGGTTCTGCACCGGTTCCAGTGCCTTCGTGGGTTCGGCGAGTGGCTGGACTCCATCCGAGATTTCTCGTCCCATCTGCAGAACCTTAACCTGGACGTGTCTGCCTTTGCCTGCCTGGCCGCCCTGGTCATGTTGACAGGTAACGCCGCTGTCTCTCAAGCCTTGGGGGTGGTGGTGGTGGTTAAAGCAGGTGGGGGGGGGGGGGTCCTTATCGTCCCTCCTCATCTTACATGTGGCGGATCGACGACAAGAATGCAGATTAAGACTTTAATGCGCCGGGCAGGATTCACACAAAGGTGTTTCATTTACGAGCGACAGGCAATTATCCAGCACGGACGTGACGTTCACGTCACGCCTTCCTCATGTGGATGGATTTAATTACGCCTCTCTCCGTGTTTTTGTGACCCCCCCACGCCCCCACCTCCTAGCTCAGGAGCGATTGCTTGGGGGGAGAGAGCACAGGTGTTCTGACAGGTGTCTGTAGGGAGGGTGTGGACTGTGGAGAAAGTGTCCGTGTTGCAGTGTGCAACTGGAGCTTGCTGGGAGTCTCCCCCCCACCCCGATCGGACAGTCGGCCCTCCATAAAAGGCAGGGGTCTGCTTTTTTTGCCAAAAAAATGTTGCTGCTTACCATGCACGGACGAGGAGTGTGGACTTGTGGGTAATTCCCATTCCCGCAGTTGCACCTTGTGGTTTCAAATATGTCACCATTACGGCAACCAGTGACCACAGAGCAGGAGCAGAGTCTGCTTCAGGCACTGCCTCAGACACGTGGTCTCAGGCCTCATACTAGCAACGCTGTGACATCAAATGCGTAGCTGATTGGAAGTGGAATTCATCTCACTCATCTACCAGGAAATGTATTGGAGAGCTTCAAGTGAGAGATTCAAGGGCATGAGTATCTGTCATGAGATCTCAGGGAACTGCCAATATTTTGGTTATGAGAATGGGTGCTGAATCTACAATAACACCCTTACAATTTTAAATTGAAATGTGTTTTCCCCCATATTAGTAGAAGGTTTTTTGGAAGAAAATGTGATCTGTCCTACATTGACACAACATTTGGTAAATAGCGTAAATTGTGAATGATTCCAGGTTTTAGGTACAAAGTGGAGCTGTCTGAATATCAGATGCCTGACCAATTCAAAGTGCCCCCCCCCTTCCCCCGAACATTCACAGATTCACCGGCGCTAGCAAATAATCCATTCAGTGGTAACATTCAATTAAGTGGATATTTAATGCATTTTTAATCTCCGCAGAGAAGTGGGAAATTGAAAACTCATATTTGTCACGTCACGTAAAAACAGGTGGGAGCCGAAGTCTTGCTTTTTTCCCTCCCAAAACTGCTTCTGTCTGGTTTATGTTTGTGCAGTGTTGCCTAGTGACACACGCTGGAGTTCCTGTGGGCGTGGCTCCCAGGGAATGGCGATGTGGCAGGATCGATAGGTTCAATTGGGGCTGGCGAATATTTGCAGTGGAAACATGTAAATATTTTATGATATATGTAAATTGTGCACCAACAGGTGGCGCAGTGGTTGAGAACCTCTTTATAACTACATGTTTTTGCGCACCAGTTGGGGCAGCTTCGAATCTCTCTCTACCTGCAGGCGGTTTCTCCCCCCCCTTGCTCCGCTGTTCGTCTCTCCAAGGCAGGGGTGTCAAACTCCAGTCCTGGGGGGCCGGAGCCCAACGCATTTTTGGGTTTTCCCTCATTTAACACACCTGATTCAACTCATTGCATCTCCTAGTGCTAATTACCACACAGGTCTTGAGCTGAATCATTTATGGTGGAACAGGGAAAGAACTAAGCTACACAGGGCTCCGGCCCCCCAGGACTGGAGTTTGACACCCCTGCTCCAAGGTCTGATCTCTCTTCAGGTTCTGCGGAACCAACCGCAGGCAGCTATCATGAAGCGAGGACACACAGTACTTAAAACCATCTCCTCTTGCCTAAGGCCTAACAGGTCCGATATGCCTCCCTCCCAGGCCTACCAATGTCCAGTTTTCCTTCCACACTGTGTAATATTTTGGGAAGGTGCGTCTGTGTTAGAGCCTAATCCCTTCCTGTCTTGGCTGGATGTGCCTGTGGCGTGTCGTTCCACGGTGGGATCGCCATCCCGGATTTGCCACGCGATTCTTTGGCGTAGGGAAAGTAGGAAAACTTCTGGAACTTTCTGGGCAGGAGATGACGCATAGAGCCGGGATGAGCGATGAGCCGGGTCCCTCGGCATGGGACACAGCGGTCATACGAGCACCGCGGGGCTCTCTGTGATTTTCCCGGGCCGGATCGGTGATGAAGGAGGAGGGCTGCAGGGCACCTTGGCCCCTTGCTCCAGATATGGCCGACGGCATCTTCTCTCCTTCTTTAACGTCCCCAGTGAACAACATAAGCTGGCGATGTGAAGCGAGGGAGCTGCAGAACCCTCAAATGCCAAGCCCCCCCCCAAACACCCCCAGCCTCCCCACCCTCCCACCCCCATGCCTAAACACACCCACCTTCACAAGAGCACTTAACTCTCTGGCGGAATCGACCGGGGCTCCGCGGTGCTCTCTTCACAAATGGGCCGTCTCGCTGTGCCGCAGGTCTGGGCCCCTGCTCCCCCCTGCACCCCCCCCCCGACCCCGGCCTATCGACTGCCCTAAAAGTGTTCGCTGCAAGTCTGCCATTCATTAGACCCAGGGAGAAGGCAGCAAGGGGACTGGAGAGAAAGGGGAGAGAGAGAGAGCGATAAAAGAGAAAGGAACAATGATTCCCTGGGGTCTCGCCTTTCAGCGTCTCGCGAAAACACGCTGCCTGCACCAAACCACCCCGTACCCCCCACCTCTCCGTTTACTCCGAGCCCCATACATCCAAAATGGGGGGGGAGGGGGGGGACACCGAATCGCTCTTCCCACACACGGATGCAATGCCGGGGTGTTGTCATGGAGCGGATTCGACACAGGGGGAGGAAGAATCTCCCAGCATTCACTACAGTAAAAGGTTCGAGTGTTTCCCTCATTACCTACGTTCCCCTTCACTGGCGGCTGCCGGACTCGCCTTTGTCCGCAAGCTTGCTCTTCGCGGCCCAAAGTAAATGAGTAAATCACAGGTTTAACGCCGCGCTGATTAATGCAGATCGGCCCGATGCAGTGGCCCACCTGACATCTCTTTGTCTCCGCCTTTATTTATGCGTGTGGACAAGCTGGGCGGCTCGTTTTCCGCACGGCCGCCGTGGAATAAATTAGTGCCCTATTAGAGCCCAGCGGTCTAAAGCGCTGGCCGCTGCCTGCGCGGCAGGGTTGCCATGGCGAGCCTAATTTGCAAAAGGCTTAATCGCGTTTTGCCACTCGAGGGGCTGCATAATCCCTTTAATTGTTGAGTGCTGGGGTTGGCGTTCAGCGGTGATGTCCGTGGTGGCGGTACGATGGCATGTCGTCTCCTTGCTCACAGAGGCTGACCTCGAATTTGTTACAGCAAACGTAATTTATCTGGTTTGTGTTTTTTTTTTCGTGAAACAGGCTACGGGCAGGGGGTTTGGGGCGGGGGTAATGAAAACGTTTGGTTCCTCATGCTTGTGCAACCCATCATTCCTTCACCCTCTCTGGTCATTTCAGAACAATGCCCGGGGCTGAAGGAACCAAAGAAAGTTGAGGAGATCCAGAACAAGATCATCTGCTGCTTGCGGGATCACCTGGGCTTCGGGGCCGGCGTGGCAATCGGCGGGGCCGCCGCCGCCGCGATGAAGCCGTCGGCCTCTCTGAGCAGGGTGCTCAGTCTGCGGGCAGAGCTGCGGTCCCAGCGCACCCAGGGCCTTCAGCGCATCTTCTACCTAAAGCTGGAGGACCTAGTGCCGCCCCCTCTTGTCATCGACAGGTTCCTGGACACCCTACCTTACTGACGGGGGCCTGCTGGCCGCATGCAAAGCCCCTCCCCTCCACGCAGCGGGGAGCGCACCCTGCTCTCTCAGTCCCGTGAAGACGTCCATTGTTTCAGAGGCCTCCACGATGCGCTGCGGCTGCGGATTGGCAGACGTTCTAGATATTCTAGAATTTAGAGTTCGGCCCTGGGGTTCTAGAGCCTCGGCACAGAGACAGTGACTGCCACACAGCACAAAAGTCCTGGACTCCTGTAAAACTCCCTGACTGGGTTTACATTTCTTACACAGAGGAAAAAAAACACACTTTCACACACACACAAAAATCAGACTTTTCACTTTTCCTTTGTTTCTATGTGAAGACGTGGGTATGTTTATTTTCGACAAGTGAAATCCAGAAAAGGACACTCCTCTCCGAGGTCTTTTCTTGCCAGAGTGGCTAGCATAATGTTTTTTGATGGAGGTTAGTCCCTAGTCATGTTTTGGAGAGAAAACCTCACTCCCGTTTGACACTAGGGGCGAGCCGGGATCTCCACAGTCCAGTAAGAGTTGTAACACATTTCTGTGTAAAATATCTTTCTGGAAAGTCTATTTCAGGTAATCAGCTCTAAGAATTGGTGTAATTTTTTTTTCCAAAAACTCCAATCTGTGGACATTTATATCGAATTGTATCTCAAACAAAGAGCTTTGTGTGTACATCCTTCTGGAGTATTTTGTTATATAAAGAGTTTACCAGCACGGACTGTTGGCTCATGGGCTGTGACTGAAAGCAGACGTTGTGTTGTATCTTCGAACTGAAGGAGCGCATTAAACCCATCTCACACCATGGGGAATACACACAAAACAATGTGACGACAGCCTGTTTGCAGTGCAAGTGCAATTCCTAAAGTGCTAAAAAGAACAGGGAGAAAGAGACCATGGTCACAGATCAAACTCTAAATTATTTCAATACTAAGTCAGAAAGGAGAAGCAGAATTTAATGTTTTCAAAATAAGGGGAAGGTAAAGTAAAATATTGGGAACAGAAGCCAATCGCACTAACTTTGTATGACAGAGTTCCACAAACTTGAATTTGCAGTTTTGTTTTTTTAACCGAAAATATTTTATTTTAGCTATAGGAGGAAGTACACAGAATTGAAATATTTTATTTTAGCTGTAGGACAGCAGGATCTGGACTGAGGAGAAGGAACACAGAATTGGTTTCGAAGCACTTATATCGTTGCAGAGGCGGACCGCATGTAACGCATGGTCCAATACATCCCCACATTGGGGGGGTTGCTGCGATAGGTGGGTTTCTTGAGGGAGGGGATGGGATTTTTATTTTGGGGGGGGGGGGAGTGGGCAAAACATTCCACATCTGTTTTTTTTCCTTTTGTATGTTCGTATTATCAATGCCATTTATTAATAAGTCTGAATTTGTTCCATGATGTCTTTATTTGTACAAAAAAAAACAGAAAAAAAGAATTATATGCATGGTATATCGTAACGGCTTTGCCTGTATTTATTGCAAACACTCTGCGGCTCTGAGGCGTCGCATTTGTTTTCGTTTTTATTTTATTTTTAATTCCGTGCTCATCAAGGGCTCATTCACGCTGACTGAGATTTCAAACGAAGCAAAATGAAGCGGCAGTGGTTTCAAGTTTTAATAGATATAAATATATAAATATATATACAAAACTAATATTTTGAAGTGTTTTTATCTGATAGCTTTTTTCAAATATTGTGGTACGAGTTGTGGTGCGTTGTTTTTTTTTGACAAAGAGAAACAAAGAAAAAAAAATGATCTCCTTCCTGATGTTCCTTTTCACTCTCTTTACCTCTCTTTCCCGTTGGCTCGCTGGAGATATTGTTCAGCAGTTTGAAATCATAAAACAGTACTGATTATTTTGCCTGAGAGTCTCTTTGTTTGTCTGGATGACCCTGTATCCTCACGACCCTACGACCCCAGGAAACATTCATCAGGGTTCATTATACTGCAGGAAAAGCTTGTTGCCCGATTGGCTACAACGTGCCAAGCATTTTCAACAAGTGGTTGTACATCCATACAACTTGTATAAGTAACAATCAGTTTCTGTAAGCACCTCTGCAGCTGGCTGGTTCACCAGATTCCAGCCTTGCTTGTTTCATTACTATATTGTTGTGCTGGGCACTTGCTTTGGCCATTTTGGTTACTAATCATCACCTCTGGTTGTCATGAGGGGGTCCCATGTATTAACCATTCAGGTTAGATCTGCTGGAAGTATTGTAAATGTGACCCCTCTCCCCCACCACACGGCTCACAAATGCGATGTGAGAGCCACACACACACAGTCAGACATCACCTTTCAGGGTGGTGTTTTCAGGCTTGTGGAGATGCCTCTTCTCCCTTCTGGACCTGTCATACCACCCAATCCTTAATCTTTCACAGCCCCCCCCCCCTCCCCCTTCACCTCCCATGACCAGCCAGGTCTCTATGCGGTGGTGAACCGGGTTGTGACTCATTACCTCCGTTCACAGCGTCACATTAACCTACGTGCACATATCCGACGGTGCCACGTGCCAGCGGACTCCCACGCCCGCCTCCCTTGGCCTCTCCGGCTACGGCGTGCAGGACGGATCTCGCTAACTGTCCTCAGGTAAAAGCATCTTTTCCTTCACAGTGGAAAGTGACGCATCACACAGTTAAAAGCTAGAATAGAGGCAGAGATCAGCTGAAGGAGTGTCGTTTTACAGCCGGTGAGATCCATAAACAAAATTAAGAATTATAAACTAAATAATCTGAAGAGTTGTTAAATCAAACAATAGATTTATTGTGATACTGCTACACAACTAATCAAAACATACTACATATTATGGATTTGTCATTAATGAGAGGCAAATTATCCCACAGAAGAAAACATCTGCTCACTCACCAAGAGAAAATTTTATTTCCCTTAACAGTATTTGCCGCACTAAGGTTTCAAAGATGGATGGTTGGACTTCATTCGATTCTTGGAGAAGCTTGATCTCTCTTTAAACTGCCACTGGTCAGCATCCAGGATCCCAGGGTTACCCAGGTTATCTGGGCGCCAGTGAACACCAGCGGGTACACAGAACCTGAACGCTAGTCACCCAGGCCGGGACATTGACAGTGACGCGTTTAACAACAAAAAAAAGGCAGGCTGGTAAAAAAAAGAGACGTCATCAGCCATTGCTGGTCAAAGCTGACCAAATTAAGGCAGATACCCCTTGAGTGTTAATTAAAATGTCCCATGACAGCAGAAGAGGATTGGTCACACCTTAAAGGAGTTAGCAGCGTGCTGTGAGTGTAAGCGGATGTTGGCAGGTGGGGGGCACTGATGTAATATTAAACAGCCATGAGCGAAGCTGCTATTGGATAGGGGCCCCCGCTCCAGATGGCTGACACCGTCTTGTTTATCTGGTGCCTCCGGACACCTGCCACTTGTGCTCTGACCTGGAGGGTGACATTCCCGCTGCGCTCTCCGTGCCTTAATTCTGACACAATAGAACTCCCACCGAACCCAATCCCCCCCCCCCGCCGCCACACACACCCTCGGAAAAGAGTCCGATCCCATCCCCCATCCATCACTGCAAGCGGGTTCCTGGGAATCTACACGATTCCCCCGACTGTCTCAATGATCCTCACCGTCCTCCATCACCTCACAGCCGCCCTGCATGGAAAACTCATGGGCCCATGCTGCCTCCGTCGTCACATTCGAAATATTGTTTTAATCTACAGACAAACAAGCATATTCAAATGGCTGAAGTGTCCCACGTGGCGATTGCAGTGACTCCCATTTCACATATAAAGAGCAAGACCAGGTTAAAGAATGTTGAAATAAATATGGGGAGTGTAAACAAAATGTGAGCTTCATACAAGAACACATTTAACCCAAAGCAACAAATCAGATCCAATATTTACAAAAAATGTGAACTTTTATAATTTTTTAATTTCTTAAGATGAGCTATAGTTTCTGTATTATCCCATACAGAAAGGTTCAGTGAGTTTTCATCCAAAGATTTTTTAATGACTTTCTTTGCAGACCTCGTTTTTGGGATTGTTTGTTGGGCAGACGAAAAAAAAAACAAAGCAAAAAGAAAACAACATAGACGCAAAAAAATCTAGGTGACCTGGCAGCATCAGCCCTTGTGAGAGCAGACTGAGAGAATAAAGCGGTGCCATTGGTTAATCACTCACTTTCTCTGCCTTCGGAGGCCTGTGGTCTTCCTGCTCCTGCCTCTAAAGTGGTTTGCATATCCGCATGCCGGGGCAGCCCAGACAAACGGAACGCAAGAAAAAAAAAACACCCAGATCCAAAAGCACAGTTCTGAGCACAACTGTTCTTGCAGGCACAGGCTGAAAGGCCCCAAGACCAGAATCTGGCCATTGTGTGTTCAAGCCTTCTTCTCCCCGTGACAGACATTAGGTCTTGCGACAGGGATTGTCCGTTACTTACAGGATACAGACACAAGTGCCCCAGGCCGCTGTCTTACATGCGATGCTTATCGCAGCCTCCTGCGAGAGGGAGAGAGAGTGGTGTATCGCTGCTGAGCCCTCTCTCATTCTCACATCACGAGGGACCAGCCGTGAAGCTCAGGCACTGTGCTTCAGACCAGTTTGGTTTCATCTGCACAAGTTTCAGATTTTCCGTCCTCCTACATTCCCCCACAAGCTCTCGTTTGTTTTTTTTCCCCTCTATCTATGTCACGAAAGGGTAGAACATTTAAACCATAATAAAAAGCACCTTTTTCTTTTGCATGCTTTAACAAATCTTTTTGTCCGAGAAGCCAAAACGACGCCTGTGAATACGGGCCAACCCTTTTATACAGATAGTGTCAATTTGCGTTTCAAACTGCAGTCTGGTTCCGTGGTTATAAGCCCACCTGTTCAACTACTAAGTCATTTGTCAGTCTATCCTAGGAATAAGTACCAAAAAGGTACACGACAGAATATAACCAGATTGTACATTTATCACGTAACGCAACAACACTTATGATGCTGGCTCTTCACTCTGCTGAACAGCATTTTTCACTCTTGAGGCATTTAGCCCGTGATGGCTGACGGTGATAGCGTCGTCCAGGTTAATTAAACGCGAAACAGGCCATGAATTCCTCCGCGCACCCAGGAGAGCGGCTTGTTCAAAGGGGCAGCAGCGGTAATCCACCTCAGCTCGCAGCAGGCCCCGTCCCCGCGGATGGGCGAACAGAAGGTCTACAGTGGAGCCTGGCCATGCAGTTAATCTGCGGCTGTGGCCCTAAGCCTTGGGGCTCTGGCAGTAAGTACACCGGTGCAGTGAAGGTGTTTCTGAAAAACTAAAAAAAAAAAAATCCCACAAGTCACACTCTGATACTGAAACATGTACTTTGGTGCGATTCACGACACTGAGACAAGGGCTGCGGCATATCACGGGCGAATATTAGATATTGCCAATTCACAACAATTGCAAAAACTCAATATTACCCACTATGCTTGAAACTCTATTTTATCTTTAAGCACCATAAAAAGTATAATTATATTATACAAAATATTAATTCTATATTAACATTGAACATTTTTATGAAAAATATTAAACATGAAATAACAAATGTATCCACATATCATAACGTAAATTATAAATAGAAACGTATAGTATATGACTAAATATAAAGGCGCCAGCTCATTAGCTCAAGTGGAAATAAAGGCCGTTTGAAAGGCATTTCGCGGACAGTGTTCGCACACTTTGTACAACATGAACTGCGTTAGAACTTTCCTGGTGTTTTTTTAAAGGGATTTCCCGCCTGTGGGCGGGACTCGGAAGCGCGTCCGCGGCCGTATCCCTGACAGCCGGCTAGCGCGCTAAGCTACCAGCGTCTGTGTATGCGGGTCCGATAAGGGTTAACCTGCCTTCGGTTTCCGTCAAGGTGGGTGCTGTTTACGGTTCTGGGGGCCACCGCCTATGTGTAACACGGTCGACTTTAGACGGTTTATGGGTTTTTTTTTCGCGTCGTGTCGCTGTTAACGCGGTCGGCCAGCGGCCTGCGGGGGAGCCGCCGCCGGGATGCGCCGACACGGCAGCTCGCCCAGCAGAGCGAAAAACCGGCCTGGGCGAGTCTCTGCTCCCCTTCCCGAGGACTGTGACGGACTGCGGGAACAGCAGACCCACGGACGATATGCTTAGTGCTGAGTTGGGGTTGGGGTTGGGGTTAGGTACCTTCACTTTCACTTTGTTTCGGGCACTTCGCCTCACTCCCGTGTTTGTTTGTTTGTTTTCCTGTTTACTCTGACATTTACTGGTATAGTCAGCCACGTGATTTAGGTGAGACCCTCCGAGAGCTTAAAAATGTATCCTTGGGTGTTTGCTGAGTGTTTATGTTAAAAACAGCTGGATCGAACATTAAGCACTGGGCATATGCGAGGCATATCAAGGCAAGACAAGGCAGGTTTATATACATTATTATACATTATCATACACACAGGTCATTCAGTGTGCTTCACAGAAATAAGAGGCACACAATGCAGGTAAAAACATAAAAATAAACCAGTAAAATGCATAGAAGAGCAAAGCATAATATAATAAATTGTAGTTAAGATATATGTGTATGTGTGTTTATATATATATATATAGATAGAGAGAGAAATAAAGATCTAAATATAATCTAAATAAACGTGCGTGACATCATCATGACTTAATTTTTCAGCTGACCACTATCTGAACATTTTAGAAACGTTTCATTAGCACAGGAATAGTGTGCTTTTTTCGCTGCTGCATGACCGGGTGTGAAAACAATTCCCTGGGACTGTTCCACATCGCACCCTTAGGCGGAAAGTACCTAGGGCAGACGCGGGAAAGCCCCAGACCTTCAGACCTTTAATTTAGAGATTGTTTTTCAGCAATGGGTTTGCTGATGACGAAAAAGTGTAGCGTCCTGTTGCCCACATTGGGTTTGAGGTTGGCCGGCACCTTGCCGAGCTCTGGATAGATTGCATTGGCACTGTGGCTCCATAGGAGGTTCTCATCCATGGCCTGGTCACCCTCTAGGTCGCGCCGTTGAGTCTGGGCGTTGGCCTCCGGCTACAGTAACAGGCCGGGTGGCAGCATGGCCCACGAAACAGAGAAACTGCCGCTACGGCGACTGGAGCAGCCCATCCAGAAGTTCATCAAAGTGGCCATCCCCACTGATCTGGAGAGGCTGCAGAAGCACCAGATGAACATCGAGAAGGTATAGCCTGCCCCCACCGTGCCCCACAAAAGCTCTCGCTCAGTCAGAAACGTGATAATCTACTCATTCTGAGAGCATCAGCTCCACACGTCGTTGTTGACTTTAAGGTTCCCATTGGTATGTTTTAGTAAAGATTCTTTGTTTAGCTGACACCTTCATTCAACTTCTACACCTTGGAATTGCAGTGGAGGGTTTCACTTAGTACCTCATCCTGGGTGACTGCCTGCTTTGTGCCTGTGGCTTCTGGGACAGGCTCCGGACCCCCAAGTGTTAGCTTGGCTGCTTTAGGACTTCCTGCTATTTTAAAGTCCTCACACTACACTACGCTGCTATTAAAGGGTCTCAGATCTGGAGTTTAGTTGTAGAGGTCTTGAATGTTAAGACCTTAAATTTGCCCTTAGTAAATCTCATGGAGCATAGTGATGTGGTCTGTTACAATGTGCATCACCAGAACATCTGACTGCGCTGTGATGTACCTGGCCTGCTCGTCTGCAATAACAGGGCTGTGTCGGGTGCAGACGGCCTTGCAGGCAGGTTTTCGCAAAGAATGGCGGGGCTTGGGGAGGCTGGTCGATGAATCTTCGGAAATTGCCCCGACTTGGGGGCCACGGGGGCCAGGTGGAGGATTAGGAGCAGGCGACGGGGAGCAGGCGTGTCCCACCTGTCAGCACCAGCGGGGCGGAGCGGACCGGAGGGCACGACGGGCCCCCCTCCCTCGGACAGGGCCGCTCGCATCACGCTGCCAGCTGGAGCGGGCCGTGGTCCGGCTGGCAGCCGCTCTGAGACCCTCTCCTCACAGCGGGCATGATCTGATCGCCAGACATCCCCGATCTGAAGCTGGCGTGGTGGGTATTGGAACAGAAGTGTGCTGCTGCTCTCCCAGTTTTCTTTCCCTTTCCCTCCAGGTTCTTCTGTTATTCTTTTGGTTTTCGCGTATTTGTTTCGCTTTCATTTTTACATAATATTCAAGAGGTTTTATATGTAGTCGTTTGCTTGGCAAGTACGAAACTGAACGCACCCTCTTGCCATTTGGGTAGTGGGCAGCTCTTTTGAAAAGCACTGCGGTGGATGTTTGTGAAATTAAATTGGGAATTTGTTTATATTTAATGCCAACGGCTGTTTAGTGGGGAGCACTGAGCAGTGCTGAGGCATTTAGCACTTTTGGATGCAGTCGTTTTTAGCAAGTAAAATGGCTAAATAATTATAATGCCGATGATGATGATGATGATGATGATGACAATAAGTATATTTAATGAGGTGTGAAACAGCCACAGCGGGAGAAGTGAGATGTGTGTCGGCCACACAGCCAAGATCCTTTGATGTGTTTATTGTGCTCAGTGTGTGGGCGCCTATGGGGTACGGAGGTGTGTGTCTGTGCCCACGCGCATGTGCGCCCGTGGGATTAGCGCGGGCCGGCGTGCGCCTGCTTCGATACGTCTGTGAAACGCGTCCGTTCTGATTCCCTGTTCCCCGCAGTTCCAGCGAGGCCAGCAGTGGGACAGGCTACACCAAGAGCACGTCAACGCCAGCCGCACGGTGCAGGTGAGTGCTCTGGAGGCTGCACACCCAGCCCTCGGCTCTGCTGGACGTCACAGCCACGGATTGGCTTACTGACACATCCGAGGCTACTGTACTCTTCAAGGTCCCAAGAGACTTTTCTAAGTGACAGGTTTCACAAGAAATCTCAGCTTATAGGAGCTTCGTCACACAGTGCACCATGCATCCTCGTAACCAGGCCATACATTTTTAAATTTATTTATTGACAGCCATGCCATTATTTCCGTTTGATTGAGTCTGTAAATACACTCGTCTGCATAATGCTATAAACATGTAGCATGCTGCAAGTGTGCTGGTGTGTGACTCTGTAGGTTAGGACTCCTGTGATCAGAAGGTCGCCAGTTTGATTGCCAGGGTCCGCAAAGTAATTTCACCATCGGGCCCTTGAATGATGCTCTTTAACTCCAGTTATTTTCTCAGTTGTGTGTTGCTTTGGTTAAATGCATAATTTGCTAAATGGATAATTGAAATGGAGCAGAATAGAAAGTCGTTTGCTGAATGACTGTCCTCTGTAGCGTTGGTACACTTGAGGTGATGCTGTGTGCACGGGTCACACGTGTCATCAGAGCCATGCACTTTCGCACACCCTCCACACACTCGTGGTGAAGTTTCAGTTCAGCTCACGGTGAATGTAATAAAACTTGAGTGTGTAACAGGTGTGTTTTGACCGGATCTGTGGCGATAGGGATTTGTACAGGTTTTGTGGCAGTTTTTATTATGCGGAGTGTAATATCTTTCCTGAATGAGTTAAACTAGGATGAACTGAGAGGTGGGTTGAGTGTCTGCGCAGTGATCTGTTAGATGCTGAGCTAAAGTTAGCGGTTGTGTAGGCAGCGCAGGCCCAATAAATTCATCACGTTCATTTGTATGAGTTCATATGAGAGGCGCAGCTGCACCCTGTAGCAGCCTGCGGTCGTCAGCTTGGCCGCTGATAGCCTCGAGGCTATCCGAGTTTATCGAAAACACCCCCGTTAGTGTGGTGGGGATTGATTAACCCCTTTCCCCCCACCCCCAAATTATCTGCATATTGATTTATTTTCCTTGATATACCTCAGTCTACATGCACTGTATGGGCCTCTTACAGACACCCATCTCCTCTGCTTATTTCACCGTAGCTGGGGGGTGCTGGGTGGGGCTGGGGGGTGCTGGGTGGGGCGGGGGGCACATAGCAGAGATTAGCAGTCAGCGCATGACCACGACATGGCCCATCCTCAAGGAGAGCATGAGTCTGGCCATGATCACCATGTTCTCAGCTGTGGACTGATTCGGACTTTAGCCAAACGTGGTGATGGGATGTGGATGGAGCATCGTCAGCTGACTTTGATGATGTCATAGACACTGTAGATAACAGGAAAGCCATGTCTGGGAAGCCAGGAGTGTGTATGTGATATGGCAGCCTGGTTTCTGCTAGGCCTACTCCCCCCAAGCTCTCTGTCAATCTGCTGTTTTGATTTTGCTCTCTTATGCCACTTTCTGTTACTTTCCCTAGGTACATGGGTGGCCAATCTTATCCGCATAGGGCCGGTGTGTATGCAGGTTTTTGGGATAACCTGTAGGTCAGCTGTTCAAACCCAGGTGTGAGGACTCCTCGGCCAATCAGTCCTCTAATTAGTAATCTAATTAGGGAGTTGCAGCAAAAACCTGCATACACAGCGGCCCTTTGCGGATAAGATTGGCCACCCCTGCCCTAGGGGATTGTCCCTCAGTGTGTCCCCTGCAGACACACATGAAGGGTCTGAGAGATGGTGTCGTCAAATTCCAGAGGGTCAGAGTCTTCGTGGAAGGTCGTGCTAATCTCATATTCGCTGTTGACTCGTTCAGGGTTTTTTGCAAGCGGAAATCTGCATGTCTGCTCTACCAAGATGCAGCTCTTCCCATGAACCTCACGGGATGTGTTGTTTTTGCACAATTCCCCTTTGCCTCCGCGAAGCAAATGACCTTTCACCCCCACCGTTGTGTTCCTGTGCCGTGCCAGTTCTGTGTAAAATGCTGATTTTAATAAACGCAAAGCTGCTTGTTCGCCGTAACGATCTCATCGGTGCCTCTGTGTAACGCCTGGGGCGTGTTTTACTTGTACCAGTTTGCACCAGTTTGGCACTCTCACGGTGTGGCCTGAAATGTCAAGGTTCATTTCGGATGTTTCAGAAAGACACAAAGGAGGCCATCCAAATACATCAGTTGAGGATTTGTTTCATTGGGCATATGACTGTGGACAAAATGACCAGCTTTAAGCATTCAAGATTTTGTTTGTTTCTTTACGGAGGAGTTTGATTTATTTTCGTAATGTCTTTTTCATATAACAAGTTCCCATATATTTAGTGTTGTGTTGACGATGAAAAAACTTTCATGTAAATTCAACATTACATATGCATCCAGGGCAAAAGTTTCAGGTTTTCTGTGGTTACCGTGGCAGGAAACTAACAGCCGCTCGCCTTCCTTCAGCCCACAGCTAACTGACATAGCTATATGGTATTAGCCAATGTGCTTCAGTTTAATGGAATGGTCTCAGTCTGGTTCCTGTTCCTGCTGCCCCTGTTCCTGGGGGTGGCTCTGAACTCCTCCTGACTCTGCTAGTCTTTCCCGTGGGAGCCCAGAGTGCCTATTATTGCTATTATTATTGTTATTGTTACTAATTCAGTTGCTCAGCTGATGATTTTTATCAGTTTCCAGCTTTACTCACTCTTACAGGGATTTTTCCAAGTAGCACTTTGGGTTAAGTATTGCTCAAGGGCACAACCGCAAAAGATCTCAATCGTCATGTTTACAAGTCTGTGTCCTAAACCACAATGTTTGCCGCTGATACATTTGAGAGTGAGTGAGTGTGAGAGAAAGTGAGTGTGAGAGAGAGTGAGTTGAGCATGTGGGAGATACACGAGATGGTTGGATTTATTTTTAATTTCATCCATCCAGTAATGAAGCTAAGGCACTTGGTTTGTGTTCTTCGTTAGGCTCTGTCACATTTCTGGATTTTCGAGACGCTGTGCTTTTCAGTAGCCGGGGGGGTCCTAATGCCAGAGTCATCTTTGTTGAGAAAGAAAAACCTCACTTTGTTTCTTGTGCTGGGGGAGAGGAGGAACAGGAGACATCAGGTACAAGTCAAGCGAGGGACAGGGGGTGAATTGGCAGAGATGAGTCAGGTCACCTGCTCTCTGAATGCTCTCCTGGGCCACAAAATGGGCTCTTCCCATAAGACTACAAGGTCACCATCAACTCTCCAGTTTCTAAAGGACACGCATTCATTTGCTTTTGGCTCTGCCTGATAACCACTCTGATCTTGGAGGGAAAAAAGTAACCGATACGTATGATTGATAAGCGATAAAATAGGACCAGGGCCTGAATCTACTAGTCAGACTGTCGGGGTTCAATACTGTATGACACGGCTGTAGGTTCTTTGAGCGACGGTGTGTAAAATCGTATCTGCTTGCCTGATTCCCCCTCTGAATCAGCCCTCCCACATTCACCTCCTCATGTAGGGGTGATGTTTTCAGTTGCTCACAGAGATGAAAAAAAATGAGAAGAGAACAGAAAGTGAATCGGGGTGAAGTGAGAACTTCACAGTCCGCTGCAGTAGCTGCATTCAGTGATTCGTTGAGGTCTGATGTAAATGTGGGTTGACGGCATAGCTGAAATTATTTTTTGTGACTTTCGGTGGGTGAATAAAACCATGTGACAGAGGATGGGAGGGAAGAATATAGGCTTTGCCATCAGTGCAATGAGAAATACACAATAAACGAAAGAGTTCTGGACTTTGGCAAACAGAACTCAAGCTCATGTAACACAGCACAGGTGAATGAATGGGCTCATTACTTGCTTGACCTCACTCTGGGATGTCTGCCTGACATCTTCCAAATATTGATGCAGTAGCTGATAGTGTGAAATTGCACTGTTCCACCATGGTTGCAGGCTTGAGCCAAGCATCTACTCTCTGTATAGTTTGAAAGGTTCCCACATAGATTTTATTGGGGTTCTCAGCTGTTATCTGCCCGCATTCCCATTCTGAGTCGCATTTGCCACATGGATACGTGTCAGATTTTGCTACCAGGGTTAAATTCTGAATCCCCGGCATGCTCGCAAGATAAACAATGGGAAGGGATTTATTTGGCTAATATGAAATTATGCATAAGACCTTTTGTCTGTTTTTTCGTGTCTGAGAAGCTTGGCATACAAAAAGGCCCAGGAGATTCTCGTCATCTCAGAAAGCTTCGAGACACAGTATGGAAGAGAACACAAAATAGCTTGAAGCAGGGTGGTGACAGCTTCAATCAGGTGGCTTGGTCTGTGTATCAGGAGGAGCTTCTGCCGCAGGTAATTCGGACCCTGGTGTAGTAGCTGGCCACATCTTCAGGTAAATAAGGTGTATAGCTCTTCATTCGGATCATTGTCTGGCCGTACACCTTCTCTGCTACGTAAGGCCGTCATGCATTTTCTCTCCCTGGTTCGGTCGGTGCTCGCATGTCGGCCGAAAGCGAAGTTGGCCCTGGGAGCAGGGAGGCCTGGTGGATCAATAAGACCCAGCAGAGGAACGGGATCAGAGTGGCGTAATTATCGCGTGCGACAAAAGAGACGAGATTAAAGCTTGCGAGGCCTTTGTGATCCTCTGCAGCCCTTGATGTGTCGGGGCAGTTAGGGAGGCTGTCACTCCTTTTGAGGAGTTAATTATTCAGGTGTTATCTTCAGCCGGTTCTAATCTGGCAGACCCCAGCCCCCGCAGTTTCCGTCACGTTTCCGTTCCTGGAGTTTTGCTCGGTCGCGTTTAAAAGTGCAAGAATTCAACGGAAGCTTGGGGCAGCGGGCGTGGGGGGAACGACTTTCGTTTAATGCTTTATTTTTGCTTGTTTTGCAGCTTTGTGGTGGTCGTCGCTTATTCGAGCCTCTTATAACCGTGGCATTTACCTTCATGTCAGTCCCTGTCCCAGCTCTCTCTCTATCATCTGCGTGGCTTAGTTTTTATAATTGTTATAAATTTTCTTTGGCTAACCTTTCAGGCAGAAGGAAATGCATGTATTAGACCGCAGTATATTTCAGGAATGGGAGTGTGAGTTAAGGCGGCATTGATTCCATGACGCTCTGCATCAGTGTGGCCTCAGGGTAGCAGAGCTCCTATCTGGTCGCCGTGGCTCCACAGTGAGCTTCGCTCCCTCTGGCTGCCACATTAAAGGTTCTCCTGATGTCCTCAGACCCCAGTCTGCCGCAGCAGATGTTTCACCTGCAAGACGGTTGTCATCTGACATGAGTACGGCATGCAGAAGGAAGAGCAGAGCAATTTTCCTGTGGCTGCACACCTCCCCTTGTCTTGCTCTCTAACTGTGTTTTAGGTGAGTGATGCGTGCGGTAGAGGCTGCAGTTTGTGTTCCTGCTGCTTTGGGAGCCCACTCCCCTGGCGCTCCGTGTGTGTCTCCCACTGACTGGCGTGACGCGAGACGCCGTTTGTTCTGAGCCGTCTCCCCAGCCCCTGCCAAACCACCTGCGTCTGGCTTCAAAGAACTGTCTGAAAAAACACAAAAGGCCCGAGACGACAGGCCGCCCCCGGGCCTCCTCCTCTAACGGCTCAGGAGCAGGGCAAGTTGTTTTTTTTTTTTCTTTCTTTCGTGTGTGTGTTTACATTTTTGTTGTGGTTTCTTGGTCCCACTGCTCCGCCGCCCCCAGTTTCAGCAGGGCTCACATGGTAACAGCTGAAAGTCTGGGCTGTAGGTGAGACCATTAGCTTTGAAAAAGGTCAGGTGCTATAACCGTTTAACTGTGGTATGAAAGTGGACGTGGTGGGATGCCTTGGGTCTGTGACTCCCAGCATCCTCTGCACCGTGTGCCATTTCTGTGACCTCCTGCAGCGTGTGCGTCTTTCTGCTAGAGTCATCAGATTTCCATCAAGTCACTTTAAGGTCAAAATGCCCCCATAGAATGGGTGTAAATAGAACACAGTGTTAAGTTCAAAATAGATTTTTTCTTACTGCCGTCGTACATGACGGTACAAACAAAACACAGGACAGGACATGCAATATCTAACAATATGTACAAAATATGAAATAGTGAGTAAATAAATGCAAGTATAAATGACTCCCACTGTGTGTGGTGGCGGGGGGGGGGGGGGGGGGGGGGTGTTGAGAGTTCTTTAGTGTCTGGTAGTGTGCTATTTGATTGCTCTGTCCCTTCTGCTGGCTGGCACTGATGACCGAGGAAGTGTGTGGTTCTGCAGTGGCAACGAGTTATAGATGTCTTGCAGGATTGTGCAAGTTTTACTTTTATTGAAATTGTATAGATTGGGGGAGGGGGAGTGAGGTCTTCAGGCAACTGCCCAAGCCCGAAATTTCTGCAGATGCAGAGTCTTTGTATAGATCTGTATTTTGTATGTAGGGAGCTGTTGGGTTTTAGAGGTATGAAGAATAACCACATTTAAAGGTAGATGCTAAACTGAATAAGTAAAGACCCACAGAAGGCGTATTTTGAATTGATCTTTCCAGGTCAGCTGGAATCCAACCTGTCAGAAATGTAATTTTAATTAACTTTTTGTTCAGCAATGATTTTTACACGCATTGATTAATGTGCAAACCTGAGTCGATGGTTATAGGCTGTGTTTAATTGCTGTAAGGAAAGCTGCCTGTCACATTACTTATGTGCTTTGATGTTCCTGGATATGCACAGACCACATACTAGAAAAAAGAAGAATCTTGCAAATTTGCTATCTCTTTAGGGCTATGATGTTCCGTATAGTGTAAGGGCTGATGTTTGTGCATATGTGCGTGTGTGTGCGTGTGCGTGCGTGTGCGTGGAGGACCACTCCGGATGGACAGGATGTTTTAAGAGCAACCGAGTGTGCGGCTAATCATGCGGCGAAGGAGCCACGGGCCAGGGTCCCTGCTAATCCAGTCTTTACAAGCGTAATTGCAGAAACTGGCATGTTTATTCAGGGCCGTCTAATTAGGACGTAGGGAGGCAGGCCTCAATCGGCGAGCCTTTGACTCCTGACCCGCACGTGGCACCTCAGGGCTGATCGATCGGCCGATTTCCTAATCCCGCCGTCTCCTCGGGGCGGAAGGTGAAGAGGCTGTCAACGACATAATGAGACAGGCCGGGAGGGCGGAGCCTCTGGGACGGAGACCGTCACGTCTGCTCTGTACTGGCTGTCACCCGACCATCGTCTGTGCAGGGATCTTGCATCCGAGCCAAACATCACCATGTCTGAAAATGCAATTTAGCTTACGGCTCTTTTTTTAATCAGTGGCGTGCCAATTTATGCAGCTTGCCAATGTAGTAAAAAATTTGTAGTTTTTTTTGGATACTGCAGCAGATGTCAGCTAACTCCATGTCATTTTGGTGGTTAATAAAAAAAAATAAAAAATCAGACATCGTTAACTCAGGGGTTGATGCATGATATATTGGTTAACATATTGGTATAGGCCCGTGTTCGTTAAAAATGAAAACATTGGCATCGGTCCATTGTGTCAGTCTTGGTCAATATTGCCGGCCAATATTTAGACATTAGTCGATATTCAAAGTTAGCAGCACCAGAGCTAAAGTCATAACTGCTAAAATAACGGAGATGATTGCATTGGATGGTCAGTCATTCTCCATAGTGTCCGTATCAGTAATATTGGACAAAAATATATCAGCTATTGGTATTGGAGAAAATTTCCACATCGTGCACCACTACTCAGGATAATAGAAAAAGAGCCTCTTCACACCTGAAGTTGGGATTGCTGCTGTTCATCACTGTAGAGAGTTAAAGCCCCTGGTTACTGTGAGCACTCGCTCCCTGTCACTCTGATCGCCGGCAGACACGGGGGGGTCACGGGTACAACAGCAGTGCCCAGATACCTCCGCTAATGCCACCTGCACCCACAGCAACTGCGGGCAAACATCCGGGAGATGGAGAAGCTGTGTGGGCGCGTGCGGAGGGAGGAGGCCCTGGGTCTGGAGAAGATGGTGCAGCCGACCCGGGAACACGCCTCTGAAGCCGTGCGGGACTTCCTGAGCCTGCTAGCCGAGGCCAGGCCGCAGCCCGGCCCCCCAGCCCCGGCAGACGCCATGCGAGGTCAGGCCTCACCACACATACATGCAGCATAGGGCTGCATAAGAAATGCTGATACACCCTTGTGCAAATTAATTGAAACAAGTTGTCGCAACTATATGCAGACAGAATGGCAACAGTTAAGACGGACATCACAGTGACATTAATTCATACTTGCAGCCTTGGGTCAAGATTTAGGACCTGGTGGATTGATAAAAATTGTATGGGAATAATCCAGGACAGGGTGATAGTCATACCACCCAGCTCAACCCCCACACGCGCAGACCTGCCAGTCCGTCGGCACAGTGCCTCCTCTGTCCATCCCATCAGTGTACTCTCTGCCCTGCTGGCTGTACAGACCAGCAGGTCCCAAGCCACTGCATGCATGTTTGTGTGACAACTTCAGTTTCAGTTAATTTGTACAAGGTTGTAGATGACTGGGTCTAGTCTGCTTCCCTCAGGGAAAGTCCTCAGTGCAGCGGAAGGAGAGGATCCCCCTGCCACACAGGCCCAGCTCCTCCTGCCTGAGATCCCTGAGCACCAGAACGCAGCCGAGTCCTGGGAGTCACTGGAGGAGGTGAGGGACTGTGTGGGATGAGGCCACACCTCCTTGGGTCACGCCCAGAGAGGCACAACATCACATCGTGGTATAATCACAATTAATCACCTGGGCTTTAGGTGACGTTCTGTTTTTGGTACTATATGGACATTATGCCCACAATTTGGTAAGCAGATTAGTAGTAGACCTAAAATATTAATGAGAGGCGTATTGTGAAGCCCAAAGGTTAATCTGTATAAATTTGTTTAATAAACGGGTCAAACTTTAAACTGCAAAACGTGTCGCCACACCACCAACGTCGTCTCACCTAGTTTATGCACAGTGGCAGTACTTTTTACAGTTTAAATTTTAATCTGTTTATTAAACAAGGATACACCAAATTTATACAGATTACTAACTTTTGGGTCGCACCTCATTGGGCCGTATGCTGTTCCTCTTCCTCATCTTAGCCTATAGAACCTGCCTGCAGTTCTCACAGATTCTGACTGGTTAAGTTTGTGCTTAAGCCTGTGAAGGAGCTGCAGTGCTGTGGCAGCGCTAAAGGATGCTGGCCACGCTGTCTGGGAGGTGTAGTATGTTTCACGCAGCAGTGCAGCGTGTGCGCGGACAGCTCCTGATCGTTTAATACCCTCATCGCCTTGGTTGCATTTTGCAGGACCTGCAAGAACTGAATGGCCTGGTGAACGAATTCTCGGAACTGGTCCATGTAAGTATCGATCACCATTAGCTAGCACTTACAGCTATGATGCTCACGCTCCCGCCCCCCCGGCCCACCGCAGCCGGGGCCCCATCACGCTGCCGCATCTTGGTGACAGAGACGCTAAGGGTTTGGGAAAGGCATCACGAGGCAGGGAGGCATTCAGGCCGGCGTCCGCACGATGCCGTCACCGTATCGATCCAAAAGAAACTCATCAAGGTCCCGTCTTGCGGTGCCTTGGCTGAGTGACAGCCACCGTGTCCGAATGCAGCATGCGGCCGTCACTCTGCAGGTGGTAACAAGCGACAGTGACGGCAGCCACGGGATTGCAGATCCTGGTGGGACCCTGTGGGACTCTTAGTGCCCCCTTATGAGTCGCTGCTTTAGCTCCAACCCAGGATGGACATTCACCTACACTTGGATGGATGGATGGATGGATGTTCTATTTGACACACGCCGACATGTAGGTGAGAGTGACACTGGTGGTCAGAGCGTAGGGTCAGCCATGTTCCAGTACCCCAAGAAGGGTTTACGGTTAAGGTCTCTCGCTCAAGGGCCCAACAGTGATTACCCTGCTTCCTCAGCCGTTCACACCTGTATGGATCCCTGTCGGTTCTCTGCGCTTTTTCACGGTTTCCATCCGTACAGATTTCACAACCGATGCGTTTCTCAGACAGATTCTCGGCTCATCCGGTCTTGGTGGAATAAAACGCTAAAGTTGCAGAGCAGCTGAGCAAAGCGATGCCTTCAGGACTCTCTGCCTCTCCTCTCGGCCTTGTGTGTCGCCGGTCCCGATACCCGGCTGCTCCCTGGGGGATAAATCCCAGCGCTCCGGGTTTGATTAGCCTGCACTCTGAGCGGTGGCTGCCCCCAGGGCCTGGGGTGCAAATGACAGGCAGGAGGCCAGTAAGGGGAGGGGAGAGAGAGCGGGTGCTGGCACCGCTTTGTGTGTGTCTGAGGTGGAGACGAAGTTACGCACGGAGATACGCCCATCATGTGTGTGAGGTTAAAGACTGAGATACGCACATTGTGTGTGTGAGGAGAAAGACTGAGATACGCACATCGTGTGTGTGAGGAGAAAGACTGAGATACGCACATCGTGTGTGTGAGGAGAAAGACTGAGA